CACTCAGGGGTTAACTGCTTGTTAACTTTCATTCTGCTCTGCCCTGCAGCTGTCTCTTACATCCCAAGACATTTTACATTTAAGGTTCAATGCTGTATTTTGAAAATGGACCACTGGAGACTCTATTTCTCATTCTCTCTACTTTTTTTCCCCGTTTATTTTATTTTGGTACTGGGGATTGAATCCAAGGGGACATACCCACTAAGCCATATCCCCAGCCCTTTCCTGTATTTTGTTTAGCCCTTTTTTGTATTTTTGAGTAAATTTCAGAAAAAGTTTTATTGAATATTGACTTCATTCAAATTTATCAAGACTGGGGGGAGTATTATATTATGGCTATTTTCATTTCATTAGTGATTATTAACATTCTTAATTCCATGATTTTTTTATACCTTTATTTTTATGTGGTGCTGAGAATGGAACCCAGTGCCTCACGCATGCCAGGTGAGAACTCTACCACTGAGCCCCAGCCCTTAATTCTATGCTTTTAACTTTTCATAGTTAGCTTTTTTCTGAAATAGTTCTTTGATCAATTTGTCGACTGTTTTTTTCTAATTTGAGTTTTGTCTTTATTATACTAGGGTTTATCAGATTAGCTTTTTTAATTTATTGAATTAGAAGTATAGCTAACTTTTTTCTCATTTTATGGTGATGATTTATAATCCTTCAAAAATTTTTTTCTGAATAAAATGTATACCTGTAAAGTTTCAAATACAGAAATGTGTTACCAGAAAGGAAAAATTCCCGTAAAGCCATCATCAGAAATAACCACTACTAATAGTTTAGGGCATGTTCTTCCTGGTGCTTTTCTATGCATATATGATTTCTCTCTAGGTGTAACATTTGTATATATGCAATGTTTTATTTATATCTGAATATAAACACACAATGGACCATAAATATATTTACTTTCATGAGTACATGCATATATATCTGTATATCGTCACCTGCAGAGGCAGATGGATAACTGTCTCTCCCCCAGAATTTGGCTTGAATGTTGAGATCATGGCCCAAGGGCTATGAAATTGAATTGAAGTCTCTAGAGAGAGCAGAGGAGGATTCTCAGGTGGGTCTCCAGTGACCCCAGAGTAGGCAAAGAATCCTGAGGATGGAGTCTTGCCCTCTGCTGCATCACAGATGTGGACACAGATATGGCCATGTGTGGACACACACCTCCATGTTGCAACTACAGTGGTCTTATCTTTTAATTTAGTTCATGTGTATCAACCTCATTTTTTAAAAAGTAGGTCATAGATTTCCATTTGCATGGATGTGTCATGATTAGATAGCCATTGACTTGTTGATGAATAAATTGTTTTCATTTTTTTCTGCTATTTACAAACAGGATACCAAATGTTCTGCATAGAATACCTTTGTACACATGCCACTATTCTAATCATTTTATTTATTTTGGTGTCTGGGATTGAACCCAGGGGCATTAACCACCGAGCCACATCCTCAGCCCATTTTATTTTTTGAGACAGGACCTCAGTAAGTTGCCCAGGGTCTTGCAAAGTTGCTGAGGCTGGCCTTGAATTTGTTATCCTCCTGCCTCAAGTCTCCTGAGTTGCTGGGATTACAGGTGTGCACTACTGTGCCTGGCTATTCTAATCATTTTAACATGAGCTCTTATGTTCCAGACATATAAAATGGCCACAGGATTACAGTCACTGGGATTATAGGCATTTGTCCAGTTTCTATTTTTTAATTTAAATACTACTTGATATAAATTATTATGAATTCCCTCCCCCAATCTTCCTATTTCCCCTGCCTGTAGTAAAACGCATTTTCTATGTACTTGATTTCTTTTTGAGATACCACACATAAGTGAGGTTGTGCAGTATTTGTCTTTTTGTACCTGGTTTATTTCACTTAACATAATGTCCTCCTAATTTGCTTCCGTCCTGTTGCAAATGGCAGGAGATTCTTCATGAAGTCTGAATAATACTCATGGTATCTTTCTACCAGAATTTCTTTATCCACTCAGCTGGTAATGGACACTTCAACAATGTTTTGGCTATTATGAATAATGCTGCTGGGAATATGGGAGTAGAAATTTGGGTATATGCCCAGCAGAGGGATTTCTGTAACAGATGACAGTTTTCTATTTTTAATATCTTTGGGAACCTCTGTATTGTTTTTCAGGCAGGATGCACCAATCTACATTCCCAAAAAGAAGGGTTTCCTTTCTCTGTCCTCACCAATACTACTTGTATTTGATATTAGCCATCCTAAATAGTGGTGAAACATCCCTGTGGCTTTGTTTTGCATTTCCCTGATGATCAGTGAGCACCCTTGTATACACCTCTTGGAAAATGTCTATTTAAGTCTATAAACACATTCACATACCACCATCCCTACTCCTCTTCCTCATCACCAGAAAGATAGTAAGCTTTTAAGCCTTTTTCAATCTGGTAGACAATAAATTATATCTTGTCTCTATTTGCATTTGTTCATTATTAGTAAGGTTGAACATCTTTCACTTAATATCCATATATATTTTTTAAAAAACTTGCTTGTGTGATTTGCTATTTTTCTATAGACTGGACATTTTGGTGTACTAGATATTTGTCTGCCCTTTGATTTTATTATCAAAATATTTACCAATTTTCTCTTATGGTGTGTTTTGTGTCATGCTTAAATGGTCTTTGTTGCTCATTCTTCCAAAGTTTCTGAGAATATTTATAAAACACTGAAAGCTCAACAACTTTCAATGTTTCATTTAAAACATTAAGTTCTTTGATATAGTCACAACTAATTTATGCATAGGCCTGAGGTAAGGATCTAACTTTCAAAACAATGGGTTGTTCTCAGGCCATTAATCATCCTTTCTTGGGGGCCGCCTCTTAGGTGACTTAATATGCCTGATACAGTGAAACCAGATTTCCATAGATTCTTGGATGTCTTGTGATTCATTGCTTTATTGATCTATTCTGGCACCAACACTATACTGCTAATGATTGCAATTTTATGTTTAATGCCTCTTAGGCTAATAATCTCCCAGGCTTCCCCACACCCATGGGTTTCAGGTTTCTTGATTTGTCTTACATATTTTTTTCTTTCTTGTTAATTTCAGAATCTCTTCCCCACGCCCCAATTTATTCTGACAGGATTTTGTAAAAATTATAGAAAAATTTTGAGTTATATTTTTACAAGACTCCCTCTAAGAACTAAAGATTTATGTACTTATAATTTTCATGTTTCTTACATATTCCTTGGTATGTTTATTCCTGAATATTTTGTTCATGTTAATTGTGTTCTACAAATTAAATGTTATTTCTATTCCATTCCATTAAACATATTGAGGATTGAACCCTGGGGTGCTCTACCACTGAGCTACATCCCCAGCCCTTTGTATTTTGAGATAGGGTCTACCAAGTTGCCCAGGCTGGCCTTTAAAGATCAATCCTTCTGCCTTAGCTTCCCAAGTAGCTGAGAATACAGGCATGCACACCATGCCTGGTGCCCCATTTTTAAAATCAGATATTACTTAAGTTCTTGCTTTCAAATAATAGAAACTGACTTTGGTTAGGCAGAATTTATTGAATATCCAATAATAACTCTATATTGAGTTGTCAGAGTCTTTATGAAGCATAGCCCTATATCCTTCTGGGGAAGCCAAAAAGACTAGGCAGTTCCTCACTGATGCTGGCTGAAAAAACACAGTTGTATGACCTGAACTCAACCCATCAGGGTCTTATACTTTAGAATTCATTCTGGTTGTGGTAAAAATTTTGGCATCCAATATTACAAGTGGCAACAATGACACTATAGCAGGTAGTAGGGCAGAATCTAGATACATGCCCTATCATGGCAGGATTTGGTCACGTTTTAGACTTGCCTGGCATCTCTTGGTTTGTATTCTTTTACTTCTAGCAGCATACACAAAACACAAACTCCTTTGGGGAAAGCTAAATTTAGAAAATAAAATCAGAGGCCAGTATCTATCATTTGCTATGTCAATTCCAAATGAGGTTAATACCATGGGCTCTGTTTGCCTAAGTAGAATTATTTACTGTTTGGAAGCAGCAGGCCTACTACATACAACATTTGGGTTCCCAAACTGGGTATCTTAAGGGATTCTAGTAACACAAGGCGACTTGTCAGAGATGTGTATGTGACTTAGGACAATAGTTACTGATACTTGTCACAATATAGACTCATCTGTAAAGAGAGGTTGGACTAGACCAGCTAGTTTCTAGGTCTTTGAAAATTGCAGTCTTTTCACTCTAAAGAGACTTGCTTTTTCTTAATTACTTCCCTTAAAATTTAGCTGACAACTATCAAGTACTTGGCTATTTGCCACTGTTGAACAGAGTCCTGGAGAAATTGCAGTATGCTCTCATACTCAGTTGAGCAGAGATTTATTCTTACTGTGGAAATATGGACACAAATAGCAAGTTATGCTTGTTATGTGATGCATTATGAATGCAGGCAAGATGCACTAGTAATCTTTTCAGAGACTCAGATTACATCTTCTGCAATACTTTGTTTCATCCTGTTGGAATGAAGTGGGGAGCTAGGCATAGCAGCATATACCTATAATACCAGTGACTTGGGAGGATCTCAACTTTGAGGCCAGTCTCAGCAAATTGGTGAGACCCTGCCTCAAAACAAAAAGGATTGAGACGTAGCACAGTGGTCAAGCACCCCTGGGTCAAATCCCCAGTGCCCTCGACCCTACCAAAAAATCTGAAGGGGGAAATTGAACATTTTGGTAGCAAAGGTATAGCATGAAGTAAGGTCAGAAGTTAACTTGAATTGGTATGAAAGGAGGTAGAAGAGCAGGCAGATGTCTTGTCTTCCACACACAGTGATATTTTCTCTAGGATGCCTGACAGGTGGGTGCAAAGAGACGTCTAAGCTGGCCAGTGCATATTTAATTACTAGTCATACAAAAATGCCCACACCAGCTTGGCATCAGAGATGCATGACTTATCCTTATTTTCCCTATGATGTTGTAAAGTTAGGGATAATGAGCTTTCTCTTGTGACTTGCAGGTTCTTATGAGTGCATCATTCCTGGGAGCCCTGTGTCTCTTCTCATCTGTCTGTGTTGTATGTGCCATTTCTGCATTCACTCTTCCCATTGAGACCAAGGGACGAGCCCTGCAGGTAAGTGATACTGGTCTTCTCAGTTGCCATGTTTTGAACTTGGTATGTGGGTCTCCTTCTTTGAAGTAGGTATGGCTTATTGTAAAACAATATTTAGGCCAGGTGTAGAGGCATATGCCTGTAATCCCCTCCACTGACTTAGGATCCTCTTGCCTCAGCCTCCTAAGTTTAATGCCAGTCTCAAAATAAATAATAAAAGGGCTGGGGATGTACCTCAGTGGTATAGCACATATGGTTTCAATCCTCAGCACCAACACACAAAAAGTTTAGAATCCAGTAGAAAAACTGAGTCTTTAGTCTTTCTCACATACAGTTTTGAGCAGCACTGAAGTCCAAGTAACAAATAATTCACTTAAAATCTTTTTCTCTAACAGCTGTAGTTTGATTATCAGAGACCAAGATGAGTGACAGTTGTTGAGGCTGCAACATTCTACCTTTCCCACTTTTCTGTGTGGATTGAAGCATTGCTGCAGAACTAAAGGTGGCCAGAGGAGCTAGCCCCTGGGGTTACATGCTCCTTACACATTGGTCCAGCCTCCTTCTCCCTTGTACCTGTGGTTAGAGTGAAGCCAAAAACTTTAGTGCAGCACCAGTTGCCATCACTACCAACAACCAGCAGACACTGCTCAAATGAAAAAGGGATGCCCTAAAATACAAGGCAGGCTGCAGGAGAGATGGTCTTCCTAGCCCTCATGCTGATCTCAAAAGTCCACGTGGTAGTTCTTATGTTTTCTTGCCTTAAAGCTTGTTGCTCCTGTTGCTGGTATGCAAGGTTATGTGTGTGGGGGGAAGGGGGAGAATAGTTGGGGTTACTGGTTGACACTGAGCTGCTGCCTCTGAGACTGTAGCATGAGGCTCTTGCTGCTGAATGTGATTTGCTCCCTCTCTCCTGTCCTATTCAAAATATTCTGAAGAGGGAAAAAAAGAGTTAAGCTGTAGAAAAGGTTTATATTCTTGGTGCAAAAAAGTGCTTTTGTCTGAGTAGAGCCAAGAAAGGCACCATTGAATACAGAAACACAGGCTTATACCAGTCTTGAAGTCTTCCCCCAGCTCAAGGTAATATGCCTTTTAATCACTGATTAGGTGACCTATCATATAATCATGAACTTAGGGTTTAGGTTCCTTCCTTGGAATGATGACCCATCACTGAATGCCCAAAATCAGACTGAATTAGATGACTCATATGCCTCCTTTTAATGGTAAATAAAAGGATTATCACATCCTTTACATAATGAGTAAACAAGGAAGTTGAGTAACGTGTGTAAAAAGGAACACACTAGTATTTAACTGAGGCTAGAAAGTACAGTGTTAATCTTGTGCTATTTTTCCATTCCTTTCCAATTATGCATGTAGTGTTTTATATAAATATGAAACCTAGTTTACCATTTATTTTGCCTAATGGATTTTCAGTTCAAGTCATATCCATCTACAAAACACTAGTTCATTTTCTGTTGACTTGGACTTGTTTTTAGTACTGTGGTGAAATAATTTTGCAGCTGTTTACAACTTTTTAATATTATTTTCTTAGAATTTTAACATGGCAATTCAATTCAATACATGTTTGAGCACAAAGCCCTATCTGTGGGCAAATCCTGTGTGCACACATACCCACACCCCTTAGTGTTCTGAGCATTTACCATATAAAGTTTCTAGAAATGTTTACAAGAATATGCCAAAATTTTTAACTTCCTTTCAACACATACAGATAGCATCCCAGGAATTGACCGGATAAGCCAAACTAACTAGTTTAAAAGAACTAGATAGTTTGACTTATCCTAAGAAACCCACTTAAAAAAAACCCCAAGAAACCAAAAAACAAAAAAAGATACTCCCCCCCTGCCCCCACACACAAAATGAGTGCAATGGTGCATGCCTGTAATCCCAGCTACAAGGCAAGATAGGAGGATTGCAAGTTTGAGATCAACCTGAACAACTAAGCAAAACTTGGTCTCAGAAAGAAAAGAAGAGCTTGGGATATAGCTCCATTAGAGTACCCTTGGGTATATTCCCCAGTGATACCCACACAAAGAACCCAGTAAACAAAACAAAAACAAAACAACACAATTTTTCTAAGTAATGTCTATATTGTACTAAAATAATTATAAAGCTAGTATTGCATTTCCAGGTACACAAAGGTAAATCCTGGATCTTAATTCCTTAGAAATTGTATTAAAGAGACTTCTATTATTAGTTTCCAGTGTTAGTTGAGTATGAATAGAATGCCTGTTAAAGTGTATTATTGATCTATTAAATCTTTTTTTTCCCCCCAGCAAATTAAATGAGACCTGCAAATCTACATCTACCAGAGGAGCACAGTGTATTTTATCTTCACAGATCTGTGGCACATTTCTTAAAAACTTGGTTTGATTTCTGTATGCTAGTCAATAATAAACTGATTATGTATCTAAGAACATAAGGCACCCATGGGAATACAGCTGGCAACTGTATACTCATCTCCTCCTTGGGAGACAATATATAAAACTTTTACAAAATATACCTAAGATTGGAAAGTATATGAATGGGAGAGGTTAAAGGAAGATGTCTTTTCTTCCCTGATATCAAGAATACAAAATCTTAGAACACATATTTGGTATTTTCCCATACAGGTTATAGCTAAAGTTGGACAAAATCTTGTACTTAAGAACTGGGCTGATATCATTAAATCTTTCAAAACCACTAGAATAGTCATCAAGTTCAAATTAATATTAGCATCAATTATGGCCTTCCTAGTGTATTCATAAAATATGCTTAAATTAGTGGCTTGTATATAATTACATGCCATCCCTATTTCTACTTATTTATTTTAATGGGGAGAATCTTTGATTCTCATAATACGATAATAAAAATCAAAGTATATATCCAGTTTTCCGACATATAATCAATCACTCACCTGCTTGTGGAGAGACATCATAGTTTTGATGCCAGAATTAAAAACAGGTAGTCAGTGTAGATACATAAATCGGGCCAAGTTGAGAAAAACAGCAAACCGGTTTGGGTCCAAAAGGTTGAAGACTCTGCTGTGGGAGATTGAAATGTTAGTGTCCCAAATACCTGCCCAATACTGCCTTCCTAAAGAATTGTTAATAAAGCAACCCCTGAGCAGACAGGGAGCTGCTAATTAACTCACCTGGGCCCCCCTTCCTGCCCAGATCACTTCTCCCTGGCTCCTTCAGCCCACCTGTTTCCCATCTCTTGGCTTTCCTAGCTGCATCTCCCAGTCACATATACAGGATGAAGGGAAGTGAACAAGGGAGAAGAACATAAAAGAACAAAGAAACTTTACATGTATAAAAGGGATGGGTCTTCCTCATCCCATGGATTCTAGTTTTTGGGTCCCCTTCTTCCTCAGGGAAGAAGTCTGTTCTATCCTTTAAATAAAGCTGCTTGTTTTCTACTCTATGCTTGCCTCGGGTGCTTCTCTCCTGTTACACTTCAGCATTCAGGGAAGCCCGATAACTGGAGGTATCAGTTTGGCACACCACATTCTTTTAGGACAGGCATGCTGCAGAAAGAACACCTAGTCTTTCACATTTACATTTTATATTTTATCAGTGTTCAGGCTTGTTGTAGAAGCCCACTGAAGTTGGGGAACCCAAGGCTGGCTTACCCCCATTTCATAATAGAAAAAAAAATCAGCTGTAATGGCAAGTATTGTGGCATTAGCAAACTACATTTATGAAAGATTTCCAATTCTCCTTAAAGAGTGAAAATGATTCCTATTTGAACAATAGCCATGAGTGGCTTAAAATCAATACATTGATTTGTCCCTTAGTATGCTTGGGGGATAGGTTCCTGGACCCTTTGAAGATGCCAAACTTCCCCAGATGCTCAAATCCTTGATTGGAATGGCAATTTGCATATAACCAATGTATGTGCTCCCATATGCTTTAACTATCTCTATAGATTAGCATTTATATTGCATTAGTAAGTCTGCATACATATAGGACAGACTTTTTCCAATATTTTTGATCTGTAATTAGTCGAATTCTTGGATGCAGAATCCATGCTATGGTGGGCTATCTATATTTTAGGCTTTGTGAGTACCTGTGAACTCCATCACAAGTCTAAAATATTCTTAGCCTTCAGATTGTGGAAAAACGAAAGCAGGGTATATGCTGAATTTGGCCAACAGGCAACCACTCATTTTAAGGTCTAGCTATTATAGAATTTTAGGTGAAATATATTTGTTGCAAACATGTCTTGGCTATACTTGTAGAGTTAAAAATTTAACTGAAAATCCCCAAGCTGAAGTTAGCAGCAATTTAAAACTAAAAGCAAAGGATGGCAGTGATCGAAAACCGGTCAAGCAATGACGAAGCTTATGCTCAAGTGTCTTCCTAAGGATTTCAGAACTCTCAGTATCTCTGAGGCTCTTTAGGCTTAAGGAAATTGTTATTAGCTCTATCTAAGCCCCAGGCTCCTAAGACAGAACCAAATTAGCCTATATAGAAAATTCTATTCACATAATTTTAATTGAATACCCAATTTAACAAATCCTTAAATCTTGTAAATTGCTTAATATTAGTTGTCATTAGAAATGGAAGTCAACAAATTTCAAGTCACTAACTTTACTTGTAAGGACTTTGATCATTTTACTTTATATAAATAGAAACCAAATATGAATCTGTTTTTGGGCTGGGGATGTGGTTCAAGTAGTAGCGTGCTCGCCTGGCATGAGCGGGGCGCTGGGTTCGATCCTCAGCACCACATAAAAATAAAATAAAGATGTTGTGTCCACCAAAAACTAAAAAATAAATATAAAAAAATATGAATCTGTTTTATATAGAGAAGAGAACCTGACTTCCTTTAAACTCTTTAAAGCATACTCTTTAATGGCAAAAACTCCTGTAATATGAATGCCAAATTCTTTATTTTGCACCTTTTGTATGTTGGGCTTTTAAAACATACTGTCATTAGTTAATGCCTAAAAAGATCAAATTAAGATAACCAGCATCACTGTCAAAGTCTGTTACCTCGAACACCCTCATTTTCTTTGGGGAAAGAAACTTCTCAGGTCAGTATATTCTCATTCCAAGGGTAAGAAGTGTGCTCTGCTGGTTGATCTGTTTATTCTGACCTTCCTCCCCAAACAATTGGGCTTTATCATTTGCAATGGAAGAACTCTAGACTGGATTTTCTACTTCAGTTGTCTTGGGTTAACAGTATGAGATTCGGGGGCAAGAAGTTCCTATTCCCCAGTTCGCTGACACAGAAGAATATGGTAAAACAGATTTCCTTCCATGCTGTATTTGAAAATGTGCTAAGATAGAATTGTGCTCATTTGTGACTACCAAGAAAGAACTTTTTGACAAAAATTGGGATTTTTTTTAAAAATTAGGATTTAAAAAAACTAATTTTAGGACTGGGGATATGCCTCATTGGTAGAATGCTTGCCTAGCATGCAAGAGGCCCTGGGTTGGATTCCCCAGCATCACACCACAGAATAGAAAAAAAACTTAGAATCAAATAGAAGGTTGTTCCCACCAAAGTAATGGTATGTCACTAGTTGGCCATGTGCAGGTAAGTAGGTGGAGACTAATAAACATATATATCAAAGCCAATCTCTAAGTCACAGGACTGGAAATACTAGGGAGCTTTATCATAGCAGACAAACATCTGAAAAATAGGAATTGATATGCCAAATATCCCCTAGCCATAGTTAATTGTAACTCCTTAAGGAAACATCATTATTTCAAAACCAAGTCATAGCTTTTCCCCCCTTTCCCTTCCAGGTATAATTCAGTGATACAGCCTTGCTGGGTTCCAGCAAGGCTGTATCACTGAATTATACCCCTGGCCCTTTAAAAAATTATTTTGAGACAGGGTTTCTTTTAGTTACTGGTGCTGGACTCCAACTTGTGATCTAATCCTCCTGCCTTAGCTTTCAGAGTCACTGGGATTAAAGGTGTGTGCCACTAGGCCCAGCCATGGATATCAAAAGGCAGGACAAGTTCAGATTCGGCCTTGGCAACTTAGTGAGACCCTGTGTCAAAAAATAAAAGGGCTGAGGATGTAGTTCCAGTGATGGAACACCCCTAGATTCAATCCCTAACTGTTGTAACATTCACTGTAAAAAATCCATCTGTCAATTTTTATAGTAAGATCAAAGCACCTGGTTCCCCCCTTTCCCCTCCAATAAAAACCAGAACCCAAATCCTAAGACTGCTTCCTCAAATGTCCTTCACAATAAGCAAAAACCTTTATGGAGAAGTCCGTGATAGCATAGGCTAATTCTCAGGAACATGAATTACCTACATGTGGATTATGACTCAGTAAATGCCCATCCAAGATGAAAGTACAATAAATGTTTGTAAAGCCATCAACTATTAATTTACATAGTAAAAGATGTACATGGTTATTTGAGAGGAGGAGCTTGATAAGAAATCATATGGTTGAACTCAAGGTCATGTCCATAATTTTACTGGCCAGATAATTTGATTTCTCTCATTCATAATATGGATAAATAGAAACTGAGTATATCTTCAATTAAACCAAAAAACCTTTCATTCACATGCAACAACTTACTTTTGGGCTTCCCATCAATTTGGATGAGGTCTCAACAGCAGGAGTTTCCTCCTTTCAAATTATCTGACAAAGTTAGGTCAAATTTAGAAGTTTAAGCAGAGGACTTAGAAATGCAAATTCATAAACATAGCAGTTGGCTATACTTACCCTTTTGATAGTGGAGTTAACTTTTTTGAAAACTTTCCTAGGCTATATGCTATTTTGTGTGGTAATAAACAGAGAGTCTATTCTTTAGCTTGGAAAACAAAGTACTACCATGGGAAGAGGGCAGTTCCTTTTCTTCCAACATGTTCCACTTTTCTATGCCCTGTTCAGAAAAGCAGAGCTTATTAAATAAAAGGACAAAAGGCTTGCACTGCCAGATGCTGATGGAAAGATATATTCTGCCTTTAATATGGTTTATCTCAGTCCTTTATGTGCCTGTCATTGCTATGTAAGTACCAACTGTGTCCTTGGGTTTCCTTATAGCCAGAAAGATGAGAGCTTAGCACCTGGGAAAGCAACTGAGTTGGAACTCTTGAAGTCCCAGTTCCAACATGGTCTGTTCATTCATAACTGTGGATTAACCTGATCATATTCAGCAATGGGTGTTCTGCAGCTAGGCTACTGGGCTCCCAATTTAAATCCAGAGGGAAGTGTCCCAGAGTTTTTGGTAATATGTACACACCGGAGTACATAAGTTTAACACTGAACATTTTCGGGGGAGGGAGTGCTCTCAGAATGAATGTGGGGTAGACTGAGGCTTCTATTTTCTAACTTCTATTCGAATAGAATTTAAGAACTATTTAGTTGGGATTCACCTTATTTAACATAGACACTTGTTAAATAAGGTCACAGGACTTAAGAGACCACTTCAAAAGGGCTATTAGGAGAGAGAAACCAAGACATTTGCTTTTAATACAATTTATATTATTATGTATGATTACAGGAAAGATGGTTCTCATCTGCTTTTCATTCAGCAAAAGATGGTAACAGTGAAAAAGAAATACTGTTTTAAAAGGTTCGTATGGCACTGAATATTATGACAGTCTGGGGTACATTAGTAGAAATTCTGGCTCAGATAAATTTAGGGAATTATATTTTTTCTCTCTTAAGCCCTACCTCTCTTAGTGATAATTCGTGAAACAATTTACCTGTATTGCTCTGTTTTAACTAAGGAGACATGTAAGACAAGTGTGGGAGAACAAACTACCAGAAGAGCAGTATTCTAAGATACCAATAATAAACGTGTTAGCAAAAAACTCTACAGTTGCTGGGCTAAGAATACTGGAGTAAAAACAGACAAAAAAGTCTATGTATTATCAAAATTTGTTCAGATACTCTTAGGAGAACAAATGTCAAATGCATATTCAAAATAACACAATAACAAACATCACCATATAGCACATATTTGGAAAAATGATTAAAACTTTTTAACAATACATTATTGATATATTATGGATAAGACCTAAGTCTATATGTAGAAAATGGGAAACTATTGCTAATAGCTATTTTCTCCTTATATTTTGTCTTTTAGCAATACCTGAAAACCCAATGAATTATCCACAGAATATTTTCAAATTGTCCATTTCAGAAAGTAATGTCATGTGGATAAAACCAAATGCTCTATGCTTAATTCATGGGAGGCAATATAACCAGAGAATTCAAGTTTTTCTGTCCTCCTAAAAAAAGAAACATTTCCTCCAGATGTTAATTGTAGTGTCTTATTTATAAAGGTTTACTTTGGCAAACTAAAAATATTCATGTGTGAGTATTTAGTCAAATGCTGGATTAGATTCTTTGACAGTTTATCTGGCTCTAAAAAAACACTGAACATGTAATGAATAAATGGATGTTAAACTAGCTGGGCTGGCCTGTTAACAACATGCCTCTCCTTAGAAGATAGATCTTCTGTGTCTTGATCAGAATGAAAAAGAAATTCTTATTAAATCAGATCAAGGATAAAATTTGGGGCTCTGATTCTTAAATGTGTGTGTGTGGGGTCTTTACCTAAAATGTGAAGTTTTACCCCCAATAGTTTAGAACATATGCCTAAACCTTCTGAGATACAAACAGAAATCATCTGCAAATAGTAGAACAGTTTTGAAAGATCAGTCTAAAATCAGCTACAAACAAAAACAGTAAATAGATGCATCAAAAAAAATTTTTTTTTTCATTTTAATTTCCTCCAAATACCTGCTCTCAAATCCTACAACACATTTTCATTATAAAGACCCAAGAAAACCATAACAACTAGTTCCTTTCAGGGGAACTTATTTTTAGGGTCCGAGAGGACATATGTTGAAGAAACCTCAAATCAAACATGGTGTGCCCAGCCATATTTTATATTTTGGATAGTTCCACTAAAAGCCATATTGAAAACAATGAGGATTGTTATGAAAGAATATCTACACATTTAAAAAAACAAACCAACCACATAGACACACAGCGAAACCAAACATGTGCACACTTACTTCCTTTAGGGGAGGAGAAAGCTAAAGAAAATCTAGATCTAGAAATATAAATGGTCTTGAATACCTGCTATACCAAACACCTCTACAGGCAAGATAAAGACGAAAACAAAAACCAAACATTTGTTTTCCTGTTTTTTCTTTAATACAGTTGCCATCTTACAAGATATACCATTAGGTGCCTTTGTAATAGCATCTAATCTACCCTTTCATTGCACCAGTTGGCATCCTGGGAAAGAACTCCTTACCACTCATGTTTGGGGAGCATTGCTGTTAAGTACAATAAACCTAGCTCTTATGGTTGGGCCATAATCAATGAGCAGTGGCATTAATTTCTAAAAACAGATTAATGCACACATTCAAACCACATTAAAATTTTAACTTAAGAGTTCATACAAAGTCAATTTCCCTTCTATAGTAGCTATTGCTCCAGATTGTGGTTTTAAAATCCAAGGAGTGAGAAGAATGTCTCTTTATTTTATTGTTGATGCTTCTTACTTTCTTCCTTTTCTTCTACCATACTTTCTATCTCCCCTCCTTTCTTTCATTTTCTTTTTCCCATTCATTTCCTTCTTTTCTTTTTCCTTCTTTTTAAATAAGAGGTTAAAAGAAATGGGTTATTAAGGAAATCAAAGTCTAGTAAAACGTCTAAAACAGATCAGAGAGCTCACAAACTCTTCTTTGTATCGATGTTAAATTACTGAAAAAAAAAAATTTTTTTTTTTTTGAAAACAAACAAACAAAAAATCTAAAAACAAGCATATGCCAATTGTGCTGTTTATTTAAGCAACTGGCGTTCCTCGATGCTTTTGAGGCGTTTCTTCCGGGGCTGTACAAAGTCATCATCTGAATCATCACTAAATTTATTATCTTCTGATTCATTCCTGAATTCTAGCTTAGGAAACCTTTTTTCTGGATAAAGGTTCTTTAGAAGTTCTTCAAAATAGCTTTCAAGTTTTATGCCAGCATTGGCTACTTCTGAGTCAGGCTGTTGGATAAAAATAAAAATATGAATTAAAAAATAAGACCTACTTTTTAGACAGTCAATAAATGTAATCTCTTATATTACAATTTTCTGTTCATCTTTGACTCTTAGATTATGAATATAAATTAAGTGTTTTGGAAAATTTTATGTACAGCCATTAACAAAATACGTAGGAGTTGGGGGGCTGGAAAAAGTCTGGACGTTGGCTGAAAACTAAATAAAAGACTGACTTATCTAAATTGTCCAAAATGGAGGTAGTAATGGTAGGACTGGATTACTGAAGACAGATCAGTGAAATGCCATAAGCATAGGATCACAAAACAGGTATTTTTAGAACAAGTTAAAAAGAAATGTGGTACTATAGAATGAGTAACAAAAGGCCACAGGTTGCAAATGAACTGAGACCAGAAAAATTTAAACAAGAACTTTTTGGACATATTCTTAATATTTCAAGATAAACATCAAAAAGACTAAAGTCTAGAAGTATAATATTCCAAGAAAAAAAGATGGGATGACAAAGAATACTTTTCATTTTGAAGAATATTTTTAAATTGTCCTCAAGTTATCAGCTCTAATTTGCATCTGTACTCACCATGCAATAAACCTTTGAATATAAATTTGGACAATCTTTCTAACATATCTTAACAGACCTGCAACTTCAAAATTTATTCCAGTGCACACATTTTGGTCTCTGTATACATTTAGAAGGGGTCTGGGCTAAGATGACTTCCATACATTGCTATTTCCTCTCCCCACCTCACCTCATTGAATTCAGCACAGTTTTGAAAGATCAGTCTAAAATCAGCTACAAAATCTTCAGGTTTTGTGTACAAGAAATAATCTTCTTGTAGTCTTTTCTTGATAGTTGACAAGTCCATTGGATTTTTAATTATTTTGTAATAATCAGGCACCTTCAAAATAAATGAGATGTTATAATACAATAACTGACTTCTACCTGGTCCTAAATACACTGTATAAGAAGGGATATAAAATTGAGATTGTTTTCATTGCTCTTCTCTATACCATTTTGTCACTGGTAAAAAAACCTACACAGTAACACACTACTGCATTCTACACATTAGGAAATGTTCTGTCACTTTTTCCAAAAAATTTAACCAATATTTTTATGAAAAACTATTTTCACATATTCCCTCTTGAACCTTCTCTTCTCTATTCTCTTTTTTATTAAGCAAATAACAATTTCTAGAGAATTACTAGCTGAATGGCATGATTTTACTGCATACCATTATAGCAAGTGGTAAAGAAGGGTTTAATCCCCAGCTTGTGGCTTAGTGGTATGATCCTGCATAAGTTACTTGACCTCAAAGAAACCTCAATTCTTCATATTCCAAATATGGATAATCCTAGCAACCTCATAGGACTGATATGATTATCTGTCTGTCTGTCTATCTATCTATCTCAAGAAAAAGGCGGTTTTACGGTTGCAGCTGTAAGCCAAGATCATAAAAAGCACCAATCTGGTGTCAAAAATTTTAAATCTGTACTGGCATTACAAGCCTTTTTTGGGTACAAAAACCCCATAGTCCTGAAGTATTTATTTCCTTTTTCTATCTTAAGTTCTCAAAAGTCGTTCTCAAGAAAAGAGATGATATTCACTAAACTAGTTTTCTTTGCATTAATTTTTTCAATTTTCTAAATTTTAAAAACAAATTTATTATGTTTAAAAGAAACTTCAGATATCATAGAATATATTTTGGGTAGTGAACCTTTTCCAGCACTCTAAAAGAATGCAACAAAGTCATATCAAACTTTCAATATGAACCTAGTTGAAGCCAATGATTAATATACATACATATCTCCCCTCCTTTTTTAAAAAATGTGTTGGTTAAAAGTTCACTTATTACTTAAGTATAGACCTATAAATCAAAATGAGTACAGAAAATGTGTGTGTGTGGGGTCTTTACCTAAAATGTGAAGTTTTACCCCCAACAGTTTAGAACATATGCCTAAACCTTCTGAGATACAAACAGAAATCATCTGCAAATAGTAGGTAAGCTAGGTGAGATGAAAAGAACGAATACTTGAGAAATGATACTTAAAATGTATCTATTTAGGATCAAAGCATTCCATACGTATAAAAATTTTAAAACTTGGATTAGATGTAAGAAACTATTGAAAAATAGCATAGAAAGTACATTTTCATGAATAATATTTAAAAAATCATCCTATTGTATAAATATGTACCATTAATACTTACAGTTAGAGGAACAGGGTCTTGAAAAGCCAGGCTCATTTCATGACAGTAAAGAAATAAAAGGAGGCGTTCACACTTCTAAGTAAAAATAAACAAAAATATAACACAATAATAGTCACAGCTTATTTTCCTTAAGCATTTCATAGGTCACCAAGTACCAGATTAACAATTAAAACCTGATGAATACAGGAAAAACACTGAATACTGAAATCTTGCTTTCTTTCCCAATTAGTAACTGTAGTGTTTGATAATTTAGGATATACCTAATGTTTGAGATATTTTGTTCACTGTAATTAAGTGAACAAAAATAGTAGCACTAGAAACCCATTTGAAGTTCTTTACAATGAATTCCACTAATCCAGTTTGGGTACTGTGAATTAGCAATCAATAAAGGAAGACCATATGGCTATTAAGAGATCCAAAGGTGCAGCATTTTCTTTTATGTGTCCATTCTTTTTTGGCAGGGGGTGGGGTGGGGTACTGGAGATTGAACTCAGGGGTACTTGACCACTGAGCCACATCTCCAGCCCTATTTTGTATTTTTTTTTTTTTTTTTAGAGTCAGGATCTGACTTGCTTAGCACCTCAGTTTTGCTGAGGCTGGCTTTGAACTCGTGATCCTCCTGCCTCAGTCTCCAGAGTTGCTGGGATTATAGGCTTGCACCACTGTGCCCTGCTTGTGTGTCCATTCTTAAGGCCCCTTGAAAGCAGATGGTCCCATTGCAGGCTCTGCCACTTCTCTGCTTATGAGTTTATCCTAGTAAACATTAGTGTTGTGAACACTTGTTGTGTAGTGCCAGCAACAAGTGTTTCTGCCCTCTCGTGCATGTCAATTTCCATACTGTTTTCCACTTCATAATTTAGCAAAGGACATTCTTAGCCTAACCTAGTAGCTTTAAATATTAATTACAGATAAATATATAAGCTGGCTTTGATACAAATATAGAACCCACTTGGTGAAAGAACAGAATAATTTTTAGGAATAGAAAAGCCCATCTCAGTGCCAATTCTCAACAAATTCTGAGGAAGAAGACTTATCTATGGTAGAAATGAAACAAAATATTTACTCAAAGTAGACTAGATTTAAAGGCCCAAGATCTGTAAGAGAGAAGATATTTATCTTGTTCAGAGACACTAGTGTAAGCTTCTATGTTGTGTATGTGCATGTGTTAGTCTGCCTTTAAATATTTAAGATTCCTAATCCTTTTGTTAAAAGAAATTCCTACAGAAAAAAGAAATCAGTTTAAAATTTAATGCACTAACAAAAAGTTGTCTATTACTCTAAGGCTGAGATGCTCAAAGACTTACCCTTTTATCTATTGGTGTTAATTTAACAAGGCCTTCGGTTTTCCTTTTTTCTGAGTTGTGACTGGGAGCATCACAATCATATTCAACTTCTGGCTTAGATAAGTCTCGGCAGAAAGTACAAATCCACTCTCCACTGTTGGGTAAAGGACTTTTGAGTTTCTATTGCATCATGTTTCCCTTTCCCACCTCATCTTACATGCCATCTATGACAGACTTGGCATAAATTTTAATCACTAAGATTTATCCCATACTTACTAGGTACAAAGCACGATGTGGAAAGAGAAAACAGCAGAAATGTAATGCCATGGCCTAAGTCTAGTTAAAGTGTAGTTAAAGAGGCATGAAATTCATACATGCAAAAAAAAAAAAAAAAAAATCTAAAGTAAATAAAAATTTAAAAAAGTAAATAAAAGTAAACAAAATTTCTAAAAAATCTAAAGTAAATTAAAATAAAAATAGGGCTGATATGAGGTGTAATTAGCATTTTTACTCAGAGGATTCAGGATAAAAGAAAACACCCTCGGAAGAATGAAGGAATTTTGGATTGGGCAAGGGCAGGAAGGGACTTGGTGGTAGGAAAGATGGTGGAATGAGATGGACATCATTACTCTAGGTTCATGTATGATTGCACAAATGGTGTGACTCTACACCGTATAAAATTGTCCTCCATTTGTGTACAATGATCGAAATGCATTCTGCTGTCACGTATAACTAATTAGAAAAGAAAAACTCTTGGTATTATTGTTGCAACTGGCAGTTTGAAAGGACTGTTAATATTTTTCCTTATAATGGACTAGGTTTTGAGAGAAGCACAGGGCATAGGAGACATGGTATGGCAAACCTGAGATTACTGTTAGGGATTTTGAGGACATTTGTGACAAGTGAAATTTCATTTAAGTTTTTACACAAAGGTTTTATGTTATAATAATCATTAAAAGTTGATTACTGTTATTATTTTATTATTTTGAAGTGGTAGGGATTGAACCTAGGACTTCAAGCATGCTAACCAAGCACTCTACCACCGAGCCTACCCCAGCCCTGTTGCTTTTATTTATAGTGAAAGAATGTGAAAAGGGAGTACTTTCTTACCTTGGAAAGTTTGTCAATGTGGGCACATGACAAGAAAGATGGAAGACTTTGGGACACTTCTCACAACACAGAAGTTCCCCTCCGTTTTGACAAACTGCACACCAGTCCTCATTGGGGTCATCCTCCTTCCTCGTCTCTCCAACATGAAGAGGCGACTTCTGGGAGGCATCTGACCACTCGGACTTTCCATTTGAGGAACTTTCCTGGTGGAGTCCAGGCTGATCTCCTGTGCTATCAGGGGCATCGGATCTTAACACAGTTTCCTCAGAAGCAGAGTTCTGACTGCTATTTAAGAGTAGGGAAGTAAGTATGCTTCTTGGATAGTTCGTCTGCAATGAGAGAATACAGAAAAAAAAAATACACATATGCATGTATATACATATATATACACACAAATGTATTTTATTTTGAAATTGGTATTTTTGCATTATATATGTATATATGATTTTTTTACCACATATATGTATGTGTAAATATATATACACACACATGAATGTTTTTTCAAAGTGGCTTTTTTGTATTAGCACAACTTCAGTTTTGGACTATAGACTACTCTCATGGGCACCTGGTGAGTACCTGTGAGAATAGGACATGTTTACCACTAACTGTATTAGTCTCTAATGAGTGGATAATGGGCATAAGGGAAGTGGATAACAGTCTGCTGATGGCTAAAGAAATTAGAGACTAGGTGAGTACTGTGAAAGAATCACATGAACTGTAAATATAATGTAACTTTTTGGAGCTGTTACTTCAAATTATACCTAAGACACAAAAATTATACCTCTAAGACGATTCTAAATTTTGTGTTGGATCCTAGGATAGTGCAGATTTCTGATCAATGTTCTCTCTTTTAAATGTTTTTCTAAAATTTCAAAGTAATAAATGTATATATAGTTAACAGAACTCATTCCTTGGAGGCAACAATTTTCAAATTTATCTTTTTTCCCCCCTGAATTTACATTAGTTATTTCATTTTGTTGTTGATTTTTGAGATAGGGTCTTGTTATTTTGCCCAGGGTGGCCTTGAACTTCCATTTCTCCTGCCTCTGTCTAGGCACACACTACTGTACCCAGCTTACCACATTTCTAAATAAAATGCTCTACGACAATTTCTTGCATTTCAATTTTTTTTTTTTTTTTTGTAATACTGGGGATTGAACCCAGAGGGGCTTTACAACTGAGCTACAACACCAGCCCCTCCCCCTCAACATTTTGAGACAGGGTTTCACTAGATTATAGGGTGCCACTGTGCCTCTTAACAGTTTTTACTAAGCATCGCTTTATTGCTTTTTCAGTTGGTAGAAGCCAGTATAAATGTTTATAGCTAGCATCTACTCCAAATGATCTATCATAATTGGCTAAATATTCTGAGATTCAGAATTTTTGCTAAATGTGAATTCAGATTATATTTTGATTATATCAGTTTTTAGGTACTACTATATTCAGGTGTTTGTTTCATCATTGTGATTAAGTAAATATTGTCCTGGGGAACCACAAAATGTACTATTGACTATATTCTCTTATACTTTTTGTTTTTACTAGGAGTTGGTTATTACTTTTTTTTTTTTTCATTTGCTATTTTTCTAGGCACCCATCTCTATGCCAATCTCTGTAGGGTAGATGCTTTAATACACTTCAAACATTTTTCTCCCTTTAGATACACCCCTGTGGAGTCTTCTGTCCTTTTGCTATAGACTGTTCTGTAGGAGCTACTATACTAAAGACTATGCTTTTTTTTTTTTTTTTCTTTTTACCCCCTAAGTATGAGTAGTATTGCAAGCACTGATGTAATTACATTTTGAGGCCTAGATTCTTCATCTGATTCTTGTTTAACTATAACAACAGGGAAATCATAATTTTCGGGTGGTCCACTGTTTTCTTGTTTTATTCGGATTGGCTCCAACATGACCACTGGGACTTTGTGTGTAGAATCAGCTCCTGCTGGTTTGCTGGAAGAGCCAGAGCTATAAAGTATAAAAGGGGGAGAGAAAAAAAAATTAAAAAAAAAATACTAAAAAATATCACATCAACTACACTACAAAAATAGCACTCTGGAAAAATGCTGTATCTTCACAACAAAAAGTACTTTATATCAGTAATAAATGATGCATAACTGAAATGTAATTGCTATATGAACACATTTCATTTATGATAAAAATGGTTTACATATTGACTTATCCAAATAGTTACATTTTATATATGGAAGGACAAATAGAATATGGCTTAAAACTGACTTCAAAATTCTGAGGGTCTATAAATGGGCAATCAGATTTGGTATCTTTGAAGTAGTATCATTTTGTGAACTTTCTTAGTTCCCTTTCTAGTCAATGATACTGAGAACTTGAGGCTCTCATTAAGAATTTGTTGTCAAAGCGTGAAGACAAGAAATCATTTGTTGGTGTTCTGCTACTTAAAGAAGTTAATTGAACAAAAACCTTGTACAGATAGCCACAATGTTCTCATGAATGTGTCTTTCATTTAAGAAAGTTAAAAACTGGGTTCACTAGGACCAATTTTTAAACATAAAGAGGGGAAGAGTATAAAATATATTAACAATTTATTTTCCATGGGTAAAATAGCAGAATTAATGTTTAATCACTAGAAAAGTCACAGAACACTGAAATTAGTATGAAATTATTATTTCCTTTACATAAAATTTTATGTGGTGCTGTCATACCAATTTTCCTTGTTATTATGATAATATCTTATATATTTTCTTATTGTTAATATAAAGGTGTACTTAAATATGAAACAAAGGTGTACTTAATCCTTTATTAATATTAAAATCATTAAAATTTTAATTAAAGATAAAGAAGCTGTTCAAAATGCAGTGAGTACTAAAACATACTGACACTGGCAAAAGAAATCTCGTTACAGATTTTATGTATAGTTGCCCTCCATATCCGTGGGTTCCACATCCATGGATTCAACCAACATGTGGATAGGAAATATTTTGAAGAAATAAACTGCATCTATAATGAACATGTATAGACTTTCTTTTTGGTCATAATTCCCTAAACAATACAGTGCAACAACTATTTAAACAGCATTTACATTGTATTAGGTATTATAAGTAATCTAATGATAATTTAAAGTACACAGGAGGATACATGTAGTTTATATGCAAATACTATGCCATTTTATTTAAGAGACTTGAGTATCTGCAGATTTTAGTATCCTTAGGAGGATCCTGGAAACAATTTATCATGGATACTGAGGGACAACTGCACTAGAGAATATGGTTAAGTCTATTTACCTTCCTCGGCTCCCAACGCTGGAGGCACTAGGTGAACGTATTGGGGGGTGGACACTAGTCATAGTAACAGGTCCTAAGGAGGGGAAATCATACACATTCATAAATGAATTGATAATTAAGTATTGAAGTCCTGTTTAACATGCTCACTTGGCACCACAATGAAACTGGGAACATGCAACAAAATTCGATGAAACAATAAGCACTTGACAAAATCCAAGAGTAGTCTTTTATGTCTTATTAGAGCAAGATCTTTAACCTCGGCACTATTGACTTTGGGCAACAGAATTTTTTGTTGTCAGGGAATGATTTTGCTTTACAGGATGTTTTGCAGCATCTCTGGCCTATACAAGTTATGAATTGCTAGTAGCAACTCTCCACATGTTACAACTTGGAGTGTGACAAAAAAAAATTTCTCCAAAACAAGTATGGTAGCACATACCTATAATTCCAGCTACTCCAGAAGGCTGAGGCAAGAGGATTGCCAAGTTTAATGATAGAGTGTTTGCCTTGCTTGTTTGTATATGCAAAGCCAGGGGCATTTTAACACTGAGCTATGTCCCAGCCCTTTTTCAAATTTTCAAATTTTGAGACAGGGTCTCCCTAAGATGCTGAACTGGCCTCAAACTTGCAATCCTCTGCCTCAGACTCCCGAGTAGTGATTACAGGTGTGCTACTGCACCTGGCAAAGAACAAACATTTTTGTTTAATATGTTTTATTGGCCATATGTATTGCCTCTTTACAGAATTATCTATTCACAAGTCCTTATTTATTTGTATAAACTTGTCATGTGGTAAATAATTTCTCTGCTATAATTTATCTTAAGTTTATTAGTTTAAAATAGGTATCTCCATTTAGATTCTGTAACTGTCTTATATTCATGTGACTGGTGAAAGAATAATAGATTCTTCATTTCAGTTTAAAACACCCATTATGCCTAGGTCTCTAGGAGTAGTAATAGAGGGTTTTGCTCTCAGAAGAAATGAGTAGATATATTATTCTTTTTTTTCTTTCTTTCTTTTTTTGGTACCAGGGATTGAACTCAGGGGCACTTGACCACTGAGCCACATCCCCAGCCCTGTTTTGTATTTTATTTAGAGTCAGGGTCTCACTGAGTTACTTAGCACCTTGCTTTTGCTGAGGCAGGCTTTGAACTCATGATCCTCCTGCCTTAGCCTCCTGAGCCACTGGTATTACAGGCGTGCGTCACCATACCCGGCAAAATTAAATATTCTCAAACACAAAAAACCCACCAAAAGACTGAGGCTGCTCTATGTGTCATCACTAGGAAATTTTAATGGGCAAATCACATCCTAAAGAAGATCACATCACGTTCAACTTAATTTATTAATAAGTACAATATTAATTTTCTCCAAGAAGTGCTATAATGCCTATAAATTTTATTGAAATTGAGAATATAAAGAAGTTTCACATTTGCTTCCTTCATTGTAAGTATACTAATTTTAGATAGTACAAAACAAAACAAAAACACAGCTATATCTTAATCCTTCATCAAAAAAGGGGTGAAGGGGGCTGGGGTTATAGCTCAGTGGCAGAGCACTTGCCTAGCATATGTGAGGCACTGGGTTCAATCCTTAGCACCATATGAAAATAAACAAATAAAATAAAGGCATCCTGTCCATCTATAACTATTTATATATATTAAAAAAAGGGGGAGGAGGTGAAGTAATTTTAAATCCTTAAGAATAAAAACTAGAAAGACAATTATAAAATCAAAAGATGTATATTTTACCTGCAAGGCCTGGAGATGGCACTGATGAATTTGGTGATTGCACAGTTCTGTTTGAGGGTGGTCTTGGCTGGCCATGATCTATGGTAGCTTCTTTCCTCACCATATTGTCTAGCATAATAGTACTTGAGCAATCAATCTTATAAGAAAAGAAATTATTTCTGGGCAAACTGCTCTTGCAAGATAAAAGCAAAGTTTATAAGAAAACTTCAATAACAATTACTATCAAACAATAAGACACATAAATATAACATTTGAGAAGTTCTGATTGATAGTTCTCCCATAAACAATCCCCAATAAAAATTTTCACGCTTTTTACTATTCTACCTTGGCAAATAACTGAGGATATACTATTGTCCTCAGTTATACCAGGAGTTGGTATGAGAAAAAAGTAATATCATGTGTGATTCACACTTTAAAAAATAGCACAATTTTATATTATTGCAAATCTCTTTAATATCTGCTTTAAAAGTGATGAAACAGGTTCTTGTATCTGCTTCTGCATTCAATCAGTTGTGATTTGTGGTTTTGGTTGAAGAATATGAGAAAATCTGGTCTCAGACAGGACTTTGAGGATGCTCAGAGTTATAGTCTGTGGCCGTTTAAGTCTGTGGCCCTCAATTTAACAAGTGATATTCTGAGTACGTACCATAGAGATAAAATAAGTCTACATATCACATAGTTCTAGAGCACCAGGCTCACTAAGTACACTACTATTTTTTTAGGAACAACAAAACAAAACAAAAAGCATTCCCTTTAATGCAACAGATAATTAACACTGCTTTCCTAATCCTTTACCAGACTAAATACTGATAAATTTCTAATTAAGAGTTTAATGCTTTAGATGCAAATATTCTTCCTGCCTAAACACACCAAATTTCCCAAGAATGTTTTTGTGATTTAAATCCAGTTCAATTATCTAACAGTTCCAACTTTTCTTAGAATTCTACAAGGGAATATAAGGGCATAGATTGTATAATTAATTAATTTGCTTCTGCACCTAGAATAGTGCAAATTGTGAAGCATCCTTGGTAGAATTAAGAAAATAGTCACTCCAACTCAAGTGAGGTACTTCAGTTGCCCAAGACTAGTACACAAAGGGCCACCTGTATGAGGAATGCAGAGGAAAAGACGGAAGGACAATTTTACTTCCTGAGATCTGCATTCCTTGGGGGAGAAAAGATGGGTACCTCAGGTCTTTCATATTTTAATATTCTTTTGGCAATACCTTGGCCAATACTTTTCAGACAGAGCAAGAAGACCAGAATGACTGAATTTGTTGTATCTTTAACAAAAGGAAAGTCATTTACATTGTGTAGTAATCCTAAAAGCTAAATAAAACAGTGGAAATTAGAAAAGTGAAAATAAAAGAATCAACTTATATGGCAGCGATCTATCTACAGAATATTGGAAATATTTTTTTTAAAATGTATACTGATCAAAGTTAAGAGCTTAGAGAGTGAATATATTAAATATAAAGCAAGTCAGAGGAAATTTTGCACTGTTCAGCAGAAAATATTTTTATTTCTATTACTAAACTTGTCTTGTCTCATCTGATGTCTTAATATATAACATCCATCTCTAGCTACCCTTGTTTTAATATACCATATCCCAGACATTCAACTTGCCAGTCTTTCTTCTTATATCTTTACTTTTCTCCTTTCCCAGCTTTGATTCCATTATCATTGTTATCAATCATTTACAAACACCTTTGACTGCAGTGCCCTGAAAGGCATTCTGTTGTATAAATGTTCACAACTTTTATTAACCGCTGTTATAATATTTTTAAGAAATAAACTAACTTCTAAAAACAAAACAACCTATAATCCAAACATATGCCAGTTACTGAATCCAAATTAACTGGCAATTTCCAAAAGAGGATGTTGATATAAATTTTCTGTGTATACTTACATCTGGAAGAGAAGGAAGATTGTAAGAACCTCCCACTGGTGAGCTCAAATCGATCATGGGTGAACCAAAAGTCTTTCCATCGTATCCTGCTGCACTAGTGATGGTAGGGCTGGAGGGAGTGGAGGACGTGCTACTGGCAGTTGATGGGGTGGCCTGTCCACTGCTGATCTGCCACTACAGAAGAGAAGAAAACGGACTATTGATAGATAGGCCTACAACATGACATGTACTGATCACTCTAACACAAAATGAAGTAAAAGACACATTCTGGTGTTTGAATTCACATGTAATGTTCTTTTGCCCCCACATTTTTATTGGTGCATTGTAGTTGTACATACTTACGGGATTTGTTGTTACACATTCATACATGCATACCTGTTGAGAGCCACAGCCAAGGGGCCCCAGCAAACTTCTAGCTGCCAGCACCACCAGCTGCCATCTGATGATTGGCTCACAGTGGCCCCAGCAGAAGGGGCCCCAGCAAACTTCCAGCTGCCAGCTGGGGATTGGCTCACAGCGGCCCCAGCAAACTTCTAGCTGCCAACTGATTGGCTCCTCTGCGGTGATGTTCATTGGGTTGTTTCCCCGCCCTTTCAGACCACGGAGCTGCTCATTAGGGGACTTTTTTGGCTCCGCCCATGCGACCCAGCCAATTGGCCTCAAGAGCAGGAGGAGTGGGGGAGGTGGAGAGGCTTGTGGGAAGCCGGTGGTGGCAGTTGGGCTCTGAGGATTTTCTTGAAGAGCTGTGTGGTGCGGTGTGTGTGTTCTAAAAATAAAGTTCGTTTCTTTTGACAAGTGGCTCCTGAATTGTGCCCAGCCAGACTGTGGCACACACCAATAAACAATATTATAATTTGGCTAGTATCACTCCCCAGCACTTCCCCTCCCAGCCCCCCACATCTTGGTCCCTTTTCTCTACTGATCTCCCTTTGATCTGCCCCGTTTTTCTTTTTCCTCTCTAGCCATCACATGAGAGAAAACACAGGACCCTTAACTTTCTGATTTTGACTTATTTCACTTAACATGGTCTCTATTTCCATCCATTTTCCTGCAAATGGACATTTTATTTATGGCTGAATAAAACTCCAGTGTGTATTTCTTTATCCATCATCTGTTGATGGACACCCAGGCTGGCCCCATAGCTTGGTTACTGGGAAATGTGCTGCTAGAAACATGGGTTTAATTTTTCAGGGTGAATACTGACAAGTGGTATAGCTGGGTCATATGATGGTTCCATGCCTAGTTGCCGCAGTCTGGCTGGGCACAAATCACTGAGCCGCCACAAAAGCACTTGTATGTTCAAACAGGAAACTTTACTGCCCTAACTCCACCAGCACTCCATGCACACTCCCCGGGAACTCCCCCAGCTCTCCACCGGGCTCCACCCCAACTCTCTCAGAACCTGAGAGAACTCAATGGGAACTCCAAAGTAATGGGCGCCTGAGGCAGCAAGAGCCGCCCTATTGCAAAGCAATAGGTCTAATTGAAAGCAAAGGTCTAATATACAACTGAATACACAGCTTAACTAACCATCATCATCTCAATGGCTCGATGGCGTCACCTTTCAACCATTCCCTCTGGCAAAATGCCAGGCATCATTCCGACTGGGCTGTGGCCCTCAACACCTAGTCTTTTGGGGAACCTCCATACTGACTACAATCTCATCAATAGTGTAGAAGTGATCCTTTTTCTTTTCTTTTCTTTTTTTTTTCACATCCCCAACCCTTTTTATATTTTATTTAGAGACAGGGTCTTGCTGAGTTGCTTTATGACCTCACTAGTTGCCAAGGTTCGCTTTGAATTTGTGATTCTCTTGCCTAAGCTTCCCATTTTCATTTCTTATTCAATTCTAAAGGATAATTTTTCTGGATGTAGTAATCTTGGTTGCCACCTGTTTTCTTTCAGAGCTTGGTATATATCAATTCAAGCCCTCCTGATCCTTTTTCTTCACATCCTCTTCAGCATTTATTATTATTGCATAATTGATGACAACCATTCAGAGTGGCATGAGATCAAATCTCAGTGTAGTGTTGATTTGCATTTCCCAAATTGATAATGATGTTAAACATTCTTTCATAGATTTGTTGGCCATTTGTATTCCTTTTGAGATATGTTTAATTCATTTGCCCAATTATCAATTAGGTTATTTGACTTTTTGGTGTAAAATTTTTGAGCTTTTTATACATTCTGGATATTAATCCTCTGTCAGAAGAGTAGTTAGCAAAGATTTTTCTCCAATTCTGTAGGTTGTCTCTTCACATTCCTAATTGTTTCCTTTGCTTTTAAATTTGATGCCATACCACTTAGTAACACTTGGTATATGAACTTTAAGAGTTCTACTGAGAAAATCATTGCCTGTGCCTCTATGCTGGAGTGTTGGCCCTACATTTTCTTCCAAAAGTTGTATAGTTTCTGGTCTAATTCCTAGGTTTTTGATCCATTTTGAGTTGATTTTGGGGCAGGGTGAGATAAGGTTCTAGTCTCATTCTTTTACACATAGATAACTAGTTTTCCCAGTACCATTTTTTAAAATGGCAGTCTTTTCTCCCATGTATACTTTGGCACCTTTATCAAGGATCAATGGCTATAGGTGTATGGGTTTGTTTCTGTGTCTTCTATTCTGTTGACTGGTCTGTGTTGTCTGTTTTTAGGCCAGTACCATGCATTTTCTTTTTTTTTTTTTTTTTGTTACTATAGTTCTTTAGTATAATTTGAAGTCAGGTATTGTGATGCCTCCAGCATTGCTTTTTTGGCTTAGAATTGCTTTGGCTATTTGGGTCTTTTATTCTATTTTTTTTTTTTTTTAACATTTATTTTTTACTTATAGGTGGACACAATACTTTTATTTTTACGTGGTGCTGAGGATTGAACCCAGTGCCTCATGCATGCTAGACGAGCTCTCTACCTCTGAGCCACAACCCCAGTCCGGGTCTTTTATGCTTCCAAGTGAATTTTAGGATTGTTTTTTCTAGTTCTGTGAAGGTCATTGATATTTTTAATGGGAATTGCATTGAATCTGTATATTGCTTTTGATAGTATGGCCATTTTAACAATATTAATTCTGCCTATCCATGAACCTGAGAGGTTTTTCCATCTTGTTTCTTCTTCAATGTTCTGTAGTTTCCATTGTAGAGGTCATTCACCTCCTTGATTAGATTTATTCCTAGATATTTTATTTTGAGGCTAATGTGAATGGAATTGTTCTAATAATTTTGCTGGACATAGCAGTTTTGGTTGACAGATTTTTTTTTTTTTCCCAGGACTTAGAATGCATCATTTCAAGCCCTCCTGGCCTTTAGAGTTTGTGCTAAGAAATCAAAAATGATTCTTAAAGGCTTACCTGTAAATGTGACTTGACATTTTTCTCTTAAAAGCTTTTAAAACTCTATCCTTGTTCTCTGTGTTATACATTTTAATTATAATGTGTAGTGGAGAGGTTCTTGGATCTTTTCTCTTTGGGATTCTAAGTGCCTCCTGTATCTGGGTGTCTATCTCATTAAATATGCTGATGATATAGCAAGGACAATCTGATTATACATACAAACATATAGACACACAGAGCATGAACTTCTCAAATAAAAATTTCAAATGATTGGATTGAAATGAATGTCATAGGGTTGGGCATATAGCTCAGCTGGTAGAGTGCTTGCTTGGCATGCATAAAGCCCTGGGGTTCAATCCCCAGCATCACACACAAAAAAGTCCTAAAATTATGGGATAAACATCATCTTTATTTTGGTCTTGATGAACAAATTAAACCAAAATCACTTCATGAGCTTTTAGCTAAAAAGGCCATTGACACTGAGATGGTTTTTATTTTAGCATAAAAATTTTAGAAAACATTTTGATCCAAAGACATCAAGAATATAAATAATAAACCACATCATATCTAATGTATAATGCTAAATTTTACATTTAACAGATGTATATATATTCTATATTAAAATTGTGCTATAACTAAATTTGTTTTCAGGAAATCTTGAAACACTTTCTCTGTGGACTATAACTAGGATTTGTTATTTTTATATATATATTTTTTAAATTTTTTTAATTGTCACTGGACTTTGTTTATTTATATGCAGTGCTGAGAATCAAACCCAGTGCCTCACACTCACACATGCTAGGCAAGCACTCTAACACTGAGCCACAATCCCGAAACATATTTGTTATATTTTTGTTGGAAAATATAATGTGCTCATCTAAATGTTGTATATACTGGTATTGCAAAAAATGTAATACCAAGAACTCTTTGATTGTACAGGGCATTTACTGCTATAGCAGTGGTTTGATTTCTTTTGTTGATTACAAACAACAAGACCCTTTCTCTTAAGCTTGTCTCCATAGGTTTGTCTGTAATAAATTTTATAATTGGCATTCATTAAAAAAAAAGGCAAGCTTGCTCTTACTCTTCAGAGGCTGTGAAAAACCAGCCTCTATCTCAGAGCAAAGCTGTCCAAGGAAGGGACATGGCCTTTGTCCTTGGAAAAACCCACAGAGCACTCCTAGGCACATTCCCACCCTGCTAAGTTGTTTATCTACAGGAGAGATCTGCTGCGCCAGGTGTCCCTGACTCAGTCAGGCTAGGTGGGAATCCATAGCAGCCCCCTAGCAGCCACCAATCAGCATGAGACAGGGAAATACCTGGGATGCCAGATAACCCTCCCAGTAGTTTATGGTAGTTGATAACCTGTTGGGAAACCATGTAGTTCAGCACGTACACCCCTCTTGGCTTAAACCAATCAGTTCAAACGAATACCCCTTTTGTACTGATCAATCACCCCTACCTAACTTGTTCCCACCAGTGAATGTGCTAATCATGTTTTAGAGTTGTTGTTTGATTTTCCCGCGACGTGAGGTGATTTGTTATGCTGTATGTGAAGTCCCTGCCCTTTTCAAAGAATGTATATAAGCTCTGCTCAAGCTGTTCTGGGGCTCTTTGCTCTTTACCTCTTCAAGGTAGGCATGGAGCCCCAGCATGCTGGACCCCCAATAAACCCTTTGCTGTTGCATGAGACAGTCTCTTGGTGGTCTTTTCCTCCGTTCGCCTGACCTTTACATCTGTTGCTTAATTTATAAATTCAATGTAATTTGAAAATAAAATGAAGCAGAATCAGCAACTGAGGAGAGCAAGTACACATACCTGTTTTATGGCTTGTTGAGCCAAGAAAGCCATCTGCAGGGGGTTGGGCTTTACTGCTGGTCGTGGGATATTCTGGGTTGGTGGATATCTCAGCTGTTGAGGATGAGGGGGAAGAACTGGTCCATTAGGTTTAGGGCTGTGATTCTGAAAGTTTATCAAACGTGGAGGGGGTTGCTAGAAAAAATAAATAAGACCACTTCAGTAACAGCCATCTCCATAAAGACAAGTTAGATCTCTATTTCAACAAAACTTTTGAAGAAAGACAAAAACTCTTCCATAGATGAATCCACTCATTTAGATTACAAAAAGGAAATGGGGAGGGGGGATGACAGGTAGAATTTCAGAATTTGTGTAACTGATTTCTGAAAAGAGTTTTATTAGAAAAGAATCTTGGAAGAGAGTTGCCAACTAATTTGTAAGTGGCTATAGTAATGGACCTTGGTCATGTTGTGAAGTAGGCAAAGGTGTTTTGGGTATCCTTCCTTCTTCAAACCAAGTGATGGTAGAATAATAATTGCTAACAGTTATTGAATATTTGTTACGTGCCAGGCATTGCTTTAAATGCTTCACATTATATTAACTCATTTTTCTTAACAATTCTATGAGAAAGGCATAATCTCTATTTTATATAAGAAAACTAAGGCATAAAGAATTTAAGTAACTTGTGTTTGACAAGTAGTCTGACTTGAAGGTCTGTACTCTTAACCAACAAATCATTAAGAAAATAGTTGATATTAATAACATTTAAAAATTAATGAATTCTAGATCTCACTGAACTCTAGCTACATGGCAGGCATTTTACTTATGTCATTGAGGTATATGAGGTAGGTATTTTTATCTTTATTTTTCAAATCAGAAAAGTATAGATCAAAAAGCTTAGGTAACTTAAAAAAAGACACACAGCTAGTAAAAGGCAGTACCCAAAGCGTTACCTTAAATCTAGTTTGCTATATCACTACCAAAACATGTTTTAGTGTTCTGTTGGCTGTTGATTAAGACTGACTAATTATAGTTAAGAGAGGATGAGACTACCTAAAAAAAATAAATTTTGAAAAGTAACCCTCCAAAGGAAAGATTGATTACAGGAAGGCTAGGTGAGGATATCTGAGATTAGGCAAGAGTTATGAAGGCAAGTCTGCACTGTCTTCTCCATAAATGTTAGTTCTGGAGAATAAGACTAGAGTTTTGGAAAAAGAGGACATTCTATGTGAGTATCCTCTTGGTCATCCAATTCTCCCTATATTTTGGCAACTTACGGAAAAAGAAATACTTCTTTTCAAGATAGCTTAAACAAATGTGATCAGAATTGCTCTGAGAGGTGACTATATCTTTATACATTCACAGGGAGACAAATCAATGCAGGATCTAGAAGGTTGAGGTGGCAGCACCTCAAATTGACACTGTGAAGGCACACACAGCTATAAAGTATATCCCTGCCCTCTTTTTTCTTCCTTTTCCTCACATTTTTGGAATTTACTCTTCAGCCTGGATTAATTCCTTCCCTCTTATCTCTCGAAAATATTTGGTGTTAGGTTCACTTTAATTTAATAGTGGCCAGTAATTATAGACCCAGTGAAAAATAGATTTAATTTCTGGATCAAGTGAAACTTTATAGGCAAAGAATAGAAAAACAATATTAGAGAAAAATATACTTTGAAACTTAACAGAATCATAAGCCTGAGGCTACAGCCATTCTTTTTGGTTTTCCTATAAAAGTTTTATGAAGTGTTTTATATCACTGAAGCACAAAAAGAAAATAGTTGAGAAATCATAGTGGAAACATTGGAAAAATTTTAAACTTACCAAAAGAATAATTTTTTTTTTAAACAAGTGAGAAAATACCAAAACAGTCCTTAAGGTAGAATAAAGATAGTGTTATGCATTTTTTAGCATCCTAGTCTCACTCTCTCCCAGATTGATATTTATGTAATGATTCAACTAAATAATAACAACTGATGCCAGAGTAGCGTGCTATGGCCTGTAAGCAATCTGTAGAACTGGATGTCGACCCTGCCATCCATGAGCTTACAGGCGTATAAGAAGGTGATGTTTTCACCTTCTCCTAAACTGCTAAAGTGATGGAGCTAATTTATAAGAATCCTGTGACGGGGGAAGTGTCTTGAAAGAATATTAGAAATCAGTTACAATCTTAAAAGAAATAGAAAGACTAGTAATATTTTGGTTAAGTGGAATCATTTAATTTTCAAGACAGAGAAAAATAATTGACGATAATAATTGAGAATAGAGAAATAACTGAAAGTTAAACAGACAGAACCTTAATCACAGCGAGAATTACTACTATGATTTATGTATAAAATGATGTGACAGTGTTCTGTAATAAGTAGATCTGATCACTAAAGTTTAATGGAGTATACTATACAGTGCCAAATAAACATAGTTTATTACATTTGCACTACTTAATCATATAATTGTTCTATCTCTGCTATTACTCAACTCTTGAACCATGCAGATGACATGGTTAATCTTCAGAGAAAGAATTAGGAAACTACTACGTGATTTCAGAAGCAGTCCTTTACCTGAATATATGGGCAGATATATATAATTTGCATAATCCTAACAGAGGAAGAGGCACGTGGGCAAATAAACTAGTTTATGTAAATAAACTAGTATAAAACTGAGAATAAAGTGGGTAGAACAGAGTACAAGTTTATAGAAGAGGGTAAACTAATGAGTGAAAAATGTAGGGGTTTTTGGCAGACAGCAGATAAAGAGATTAGAGTGTGAAAAAGGTCTAGGAGGCACAGAGAGTAGAGAAAACAAAATGACAGGGTATAAGGACTACAAACATATGAAAAGTATTTCTAAGTGGGAAAATTAGATTATATAATAGAGACTGTACATTATACATAGTACTAAATCCTAGAGACTGAAAATAAGATCCAAAGCAAATTTCTGAGGAAAGCAAGCTAACGGGTCAAAGGTCAATTCAGTTTTGTCACTGCTTATATAAATTTATAAACTCTTTTCACATAGACTCTATTAACTGCCTCATTACTTACTTTTTAGTGAAAGGCAATTAAATGAATTGATGGATCCAACCCTTTTGTTAATAAGCAATTAAATAAATTCTACCATCTCTCAGACATTTCAATATTAATATAAGCAAATGCTTAGCACAGGCACAACAGATTTAATTCTCTTTCTTTGTACATTTAACTTCATAAAAATTTTAGTATTCTTTCTAGTCTATTTATGTCATTCTGATTTCAATTTTCTTAATAAAAATTCAACTCTGCCATGGATGCTCGAAGTATCTAAAACATACAATTCTCTTCCCCCTTGAAGCACTTCACCAAAGATCTTTCAAATTGTTTGCTACTTTCTTTCTGTAAAAACTGGTTGAAACAAAGTTTTAAGTAGGCATATTATTATTTTCCTAGATTTCATATGCCTTCTTAATTAAATTAATAGAAAGCCATAAACTTCAAGTATATTATCTTACGCCATTACAGAAATGACAACAAAATCCGGGTCTAACTGGGGATATAGTAGGGGATAGTGGTGAATCTCAGTGGTATAGTATGTGCTTAGCATGTGCAAGGCCCTGGGTTCCATCCCCGTATACCTATTTCACAAGAATAGGCTCTACATATGCCCACAACCTCTATTGAGGGTTGAAGAGTCCTACAAAAAAACATTCCTATGTTGTGTAAAATTGTTACAAGAAAATTATGCTTAATTTAGTTGCTTTTTTCATAGACAACCACTTCATATATTCTACTAGTAAAATACTAGTAAAACTTTCTCACCCCTAATTGGCATGTTTCCTTTTATTTGATAGTGATATCTTATTATTCCTGTTTTCTTTCATTGTTAAGAAATTCTGAGTTAAATGTTATTCCTAAGTATAATAAGAATTCCTAGCCAAGGTTTTTATACTTTGACTCTTATTAAATTCCATTCTATTACATTTGTGTCATGTACCAAAATCACTTCAAATCCTTTGTGGAAACAGAAACAACATAAATTCATTTTAAAAAGTAACTGAAAACAAGAGTTTATATGAAATACACTTTAAATCCTATTAAATCTTTATTAATCTAACCTGAACAGGATTGTTTATTTAACAAAAGTATATCAACCTTTTATCCTCAAAACATGGATTGCAAATTAACAGAATACTTCAATATCTAGTTAAAAATGGTCAATGGAATATTTGTTCAGATAGAAGTTTGAAAAAGGTTAAAATTTTAATGAACCACACTCCTGCATTTTTCTATTTTGTATTTCATTTTGCCCTATTTTCTAAGATACAATATGGTTTGCTAAATACTGGCACCCCCAAAGAGAACAGATTTTTTTAAAAAATATTTTTAGTTGTAGTTGGACACAATACCTTTATTTTACTTATTCATTTTTATGTGGTGCTGAGCATCAAACCCAGGACCTCGCCTATGCTAGGCAAGTGCTCTACTGCTGAGCCACATCCCCAGCCCAAGAACAGATTCTTAAAAGTACTCATCTTTCTGAAGCACTAATAAAGGAATTACAGTTACTCGGGTTTTCCCATCAATCATAGGCATGGGTTATTTAGGAATACAAACACTTAACCCTGCTAAAATTTAAAGACAAGAAACAATAGATGAAAATAAATGTGCCAATTAAATAAATCATTAAATCTTTTTTGAGTAGAACTAAAGACTAAGTGTTAAATCAGGGATCCTTAATGTGGTAAAATTTTATAAATCCACATATTTAAATTAAGGATGATGGATATCTTGGCTATATGAAGAGCTGCTGAACACAATCATACTACAGTTATCTAAGTTAGGACAGGCCTGCTTCCAAATTTACCTGATGAGAGATGGAAGGTTGCTGGATGGGCCCCTGCATTCTAGGGTTTGGTAAACCCACAGGTGCTGGCCTCCGTTGCACCTGTTGCCTCTGAGCCATTACCTGTTGCTGCATATGCTGGAGTCGTAATTGAGCTAGGCTGATCTGTGTTGGAAACTTGGATAACTGGTTTGAAGATAAACCACCTGGTGGCTGTGAATTCTGTTCCACGACAGGATTCTGCTTAGGCATTTGTGGTTGACTCTCTTTATCTTCGATTACTAAAGAACCTAATTAAAGAGAAAAGAGCAAGGGATAAAGTTTTTTGATAATTGGTGAGATACAACATTTTGAATGGCTACTTTTGATGAACTTTAATTGCTAAGGAGTTTTTTGGTCTCTTCATACTCTTAAAAAAAAATAGAGGACCCCAAAGAACTTTTGTTTATGTAGGCTCTATTATCAAACTTTACTATGTAAGAAACGTAAAATGAAAATGTTAAAAAAAATCCACTAATCCATTTTAAAATAACAATAAACCAATAACATATTTTTATGAAAAAAACTGCTTACAAAGGTTTTTAATGAAGTATGCATTGTTTTACACTTTTGAAGATCTAAGCATCTAGCTTAATAGGTGAACTTCATATCTGTTTTTGCATTATCTGTCGTAATATATTGACTAAATTAAATATATGAAGAAATTTGTTCTCACAGACATATAGTTGGAAAAGGGAGGCCATTTTTAGAACTATTATAAATCAAAACAAGCAAATCTGATATTGGCTCTAAAAACCAATCCCACAAAGTATTTGATTCTTTAGTATTAACTATTTGTAATCTCAAGTTTCTTATACCTTTACAATATATACTACATTAACTCCATAACAGAAAACTGGTTTGCAACTATAGTTTTAAAGGTGTCTCATAGATTTGATTCAAGCTTTATTTCTTTAACAGTAGATATTCAAATGTTTCTGATTCACGAAGCACCCACATCTAAAAACAAATTGTAGCTAAGCTGGGCACAGTGGCACATGCCTATAATCCCTTGGGAGGCTGAGTCAGGGCTAGTTTGAGGTCAGCCTTGGCAACTTAATGAGACTGTCAAAAAATAAAAAGGATTGGGAATGTAGCTCAGTGGTAGAGTTCATGTTACCTCCTCAGTGCCACCAAAAAAGATGAATAAATAAACAAAATTAATTTTTAAAAGTATAGCTATCATTTATTAAATACTTACTGTGTGTTTGGCACTGTGACAGGTAGTCACATATAGGTAAAAAATCTCACATATATGTAAAAAAAAACTCATCCAAAGTTATAAAAATATTAACCAAATATTCATCTAATCAATATTTTCCTCTGGCACTCATTCATAAAATGTTTCTCAGAAGCCATGGATAAACAAGTTTGGAAAACTTCTTTTCTTGTGCTAAATAAACTGACCAAGCTGTAAATGACAGCTCTGATAATTTCTACAGTAAAGGATACTTTATTATATCAGAGTTTCACAAACTAACAAAGATATCATGGTTTTGTTTTTGCTATGTAGATTTATCTAAAACTATATCCTTTTATATGCACAGTTTTAAGCCTAATTCCTAAATGTAGCTATTTCTACATGTGGGTGTTTTACATGTTATGTTTTAAGTGCAGAGATGTCTATACATGTCTATACATGTGATGACTTCTAACTTGTTATAGGTTCTCAGTACAGAGGCACGTGTTGTGGTAGTGCAGGCTGTGGTGAGGAAGACAGCTACTCACATACATGCTCTATATAGCTGCTTCTTTCTAGCAAGGCAGTGAAAAGTGTGGATGATTCCAGTTGCCTACTATATTATTAATATGTGTAAGGCCACAGATACTGCTAAGAGTGGCCTGCAGGAGTCTCTTTATCACCTCTTATTCAAAGATTCTTTTTGTTCTTCCCTTGTAAGGATAAGATTTGTGTAAGCCTGTTTCTTCCTTGCCTACCATGTTCTGACAGCACTGGCTTTTTCTCCATTTTTTTTTTTTTTTCTCCTTTCCTACAAAGAATTTAGCCTTGGGGATGAGAGAGCAACCATCTTTGATGATTCTGAAACAAAGTCAAGGAACTAAAAAAAGCATCACTGAAGGGAATACTGGCTGTTGATGAATAATGTATAGGGAATTCTTACATTTTTGTTTGTGTAGTTTCCCGGTGAGAAATTAAGAAAGGAGGCAAAAAAGACTATTTCTACTCAGCAAATAGCATAAAAAGAAAGCTAAAGTAATAATTTCCTGCTGAAATATTTGCAAAGATACTCCAGCTCCTGATGTTACTGATAGTCTATTTCTTTATGATAATTGGTGAGCTCAAATACTTAAGATTTGGGTACTTTTCTGAATTTATGTTACACTTTAATAGACATATGAACATGTAAAATTATAACTGACAGTGAAAATTGTGGGGAAAAAGTCTTTCCTAAAGAGATAAAGCAACTGAACCATTAGTCATCTGATGGAAAGTAAGGAATAATAAACCATTAGGCATCTAAAGGAAAGTAGGCCAATAATAGCATGAGAAGTGCTATCTTATTATAAAATATTATAGACATGAAAAATATTAGGCAGGTGCAGTGGCACACACCTATAATCCCAGTTACTTGGAAGGCTGTCTCAGAAAAAGAGGAAAAAAAAAAAATCGTGGGGGCACTGGTGCTGTAGCTCAGTGGCAGAACACCTGCCTGACATGTGCAGGTCTCTAGGTTCCTCCCCAGAATGGGGGGAAAATCCTGTATAAATGATAGTCAAGAGGTAACACATTTTGATAAATATAGAACATGCAAACAGGATTCTAGGGTAATAAAAGCGTCCTGAATCCCTATACCTAGAAAAGACAACAAAAGAATATTTTCCTATAACCCAAATATGTACATATGTGCTTATATTCACACGTTATCATATATACAAATTATTGACATGTCTTTAAAATAAGATAACAGCAAACCGAGTGGAAGGGAATCTTTAATAACATCACTGAGAATTCCACAACTAACACCTTGACAAAATGTACATAATGGCCTACCTAAGTTGATAATATTTTGGGCCCAGAAGCTAGGATCACAGTGAAACTGGATAGTGTTGTTGGTCACTGGGGAAGCATCACACCTTGCACGAAGGAGGTGCCGTAACCGGTATGTAATCTGAAAGAAAGCAGAGAGAAAACTGAACAATATACCTTTATCAGGTAAATAATACATTACCTTTGCCCAATGAATACCTAAAAACCGTCACTGGTATACATGCAACTGATAATAACCAATCATATATAGATCAGAAAAGTGGTCATACAAAATAATTTTCTTTTCAAATCATTAAATTTTTGAGGTGTAACTCGGCTTAACTGTTTCACACTGACCTAAAAAGTATTTTAAGGTGATAGGTTAAAGTGAGTTTTTTAAATTAGCAATGAAAGTTCACAGAAATGTCAAATCAAATATTGTAAAAAAATTAGCATATCTTATTCTTTTATTTACTTTAATTTTTAAGGGCAATACTCAATTTAGACTTAGGGATATAATGAGATATAGAAGATGCAAATTAGTCTGCTTAAGAAATGGAATGAGGTCTGCTAGTAGGATGGTTTTCCTTGCTTTTCATGGTGGCTCAGTTCCTACCACCTCCTGCAAAGGGATTCAAAATCTCTGAAGTGAATCCCATAACATCCATTTCTTTTCACAATCCCAATCTTCATTTTCACTTGGTCCTTAAAGATTTCAGTTCCTGGCATTCTATCATTGTCAGTTCCAATATAACTCTTGTCACAATTCTGGATGATTTTAATATTCAACCATCTTTCCAGCACAGATACTAATAATCCTACAAATCCACCAACTCCTATGAACCTTTGCTCTCACAACTTTTCCAGTCTTTCCATCTCACCTCACTATCCCTCAATATCCAGCTTAATTCCCATGGTCAATCATCACAAACATTTTCTTGCACAGATCCTCAACTTTTCTCTCCGCTTACCCAATTTACAAATATTCTTCCCTCTCATGAACTTTCCCCCTGAATGAAACATACTACATTGATTAAATCTTTCTGTATCAATATTAATTTAATTCCTGAAATTGAGCTAATAACACATGACATTTCTCTGGTTCATTCATTTCCCTACTCTCATAAATGACTATTTATGAGACTATTCCTTCTATTTTTCTTTTCAAGTCTCCATCATTTTCTCCCCTATTCTCAATCTCAACTGATGGACTTGCTTACCATTTCACTGAGAAAATAGGAACAATCAGGGACCTTGTTCAAATTTCCATCATGTATCAGTTATCTATTACAATGGATGAACTGTCCATGCTGGATAAAACCAAGCCAGCCCCATCTTTCCTACTCAGCAATTTTCTGAACCATACCCATCAAGATATAAACATGCTTTAACTTTTTCCAGCTAAAACCAAAACTCTTGACTCCTTTTTTCCTACATTTTTTTCCTCTTGTCTACAACAAAACTCAAAACTCATTTATATACATGGTTTCTCCCCTCTTATTCTTTTCTGAAACTATTATTTTCATACTTGGAGGAGCTTTCATCTCAGGTGGTAATATTGTTCTCCTGGAAACACTTTCTTTACATGGCTTCCTGCATACTGTAATTTCATAGTTTCCCCCTTATTTTGCTAGCAGTTACTTTTTTAATTTTTTAATTGCAGTTGCAGCACTGGCACTAGGGATTAAGCCCAGGCCCTTATAAATGCTAGACAAGCACTCCACCATTGACCTATATCCTTATCCCTTTGTAAAAATTTTGAGACAGAGTATCACTAAACTACCTGGACTGCCCTCAAACTTGTGATCCTCCTGCTTCAGCCTCCTGAGTAGCTGGAATTACAAGAATGTGCTACCATGCCCAATTCAGCTGCTACTTCTGGAAGCCACTGAAAATACAATAGGTTCCAATATCAACCTGTTTTTGAAGTGTCCAGTAAGGTGCCAGCTTAATATATATATATATTTTGGCCTTGCACAACCTTTCTCTGCAGTATGGGTGTTTTATTTTCTCCCACAACTCCATTTGCTGGAATGCCCCAGGGCTCAGTCTTCTGACTTCTCAATCTTCTTCTAGACCCATATGCTTTTGGTGATTTCAAGCCAATCTCACAGTTTAAATGACTCCTCATTTTAGATTTGCAGCCTGAATCTCTCTTTTGAACTTGCCTTTCCAATGACTAATTTAGCCTCTCCACCTGGTTGTTGAAAAGGAATCATAAATGTGCCAAGTCCAAAGGGAACTCTTGATTTTTCTCTTAAGGTCTACTCTTCGTATAATCTTCCTTATGTCCATCTTCCTACACCTTAAGGTAAAAGGTCTTGGTTCCACTGTTTGTCTCACACCCTATATATTTAACCTGTCAGTAAATCCTGTTGGCTCTTTTAAGATAGATGGATAATCTGACCACTTCTCCTATCAGCTATGCTAGCTCCTGTTCCAAAAATGTGAACTTATCACTAGGTTCTAATTGGTCTCCCTAATTTTTCCTTGTCCTCAAACATCTACATTGTGTTCTCAACATAACAGATGGGGTGACCGTTAATATTATGCCATTTTCTCAAGCCCCTCCAATTATTTTTCACTCTGCTCCAGTCCATCAAGCTCATTGTTGTCCACATAATAAAAACTCTCGACGCAGTCTCTGCATTTGCTATGGGCTCTGCCAGAAATATTCTCCTCGAATATCTGCATGGCTTGCTTTCTCATTTCCTTCAGGTATTTGCTCACAATCACCCTCTTTAGATATTTAGATAATTTCCCCAATATACACCATTGCTCCCATACCACAACTTATTAGCATGAAACAGTCTATACATTTTAGTATTGTCTATCTCTACCAAAATGCAACTCCTTGAGGGCAAAGATTTTGTTTTGTTTACTCTGTTCCTCATCACTCAGAATGATACTTGGCATATGAAAGGTATTCCTTATAATTGCTAAATAAGTAAATTTGCTTCAATTATTACATTATCTCAAAAAAGTATAATAAATTTTGACAAAAAATTATTGAAATTTTAGGACTAAGAACAGTGTTAAGCAAATAGCCCTCAATAAAGCAAAGTGCCTTTCCCCAAGTTTTTCTCCCTTTCTTACATTTTGATATCCTCCAGTAATTCTGACCATAAATCACTCTTTTTTTTTTTTTATGGTAAGTATTTTTATTATTGGTTTTGTCAGAAAAATTTGTACAGGTGATTATTGATGCATAATTTATTAGAGCCAGAGATGATCACTCCTAGAAAAACAAATCTCTGAGGTTAGAATAGAGAACATGAAAAAAGAGATTTCAATTTATAATTTACCTTCATCAAACTATCCCATAATACATAATTTCTTTGAGTATTACTTTGACGTTATATAATAAGCCATTAATAGAAAACACACACACCAAGTCTTACATTCTCTAATCTTTAACTCCATTATCAATGTGTCCTACATCTTTTTATTTTATTTTTAAGCACTGGGGATTGAACCCAGGGCCTCCTACATGATAGGCAAGCATTCTACCACTGAGCTACACCCCCAGCCCCTACTTTTCTTAGATTTTTGAAGACATGAAAATAAAAATCATTTCAAATAATGGTACTCAAATACCACATAAGTTTGTAATGAGGTGCACCAGCCAACTTTAAGCCTTATCTTTTCCAGGTCTTACCTAAAATGATCTGCACTAGTTTCTTGGATTTTTTATCAGTCATATTTTGGGCCTATTTTGCCTCAATGGGCCTAAACAGAAAATTATATTAAAATATGTTAATAATCTATAGTGAGAATATAGTGGTATAAGTGACTTTCCTAACTTTTCAGGGACATCAGTGGAAACAAGGATAAGCCAGGCAGTTTCATGTGATCATTTTTTCTCTGAGGCTGGAACCTGTGCTTTGATTTTCTTAGCAGCTTCCAGAACAGAAAGTGGGTTTACTTTGTCTCCAAATTCTTTTTCTCGGTGTTCAAGAATGCCCTGCTTTCCTGGTCCCACCACAAAAACTCCCCCGAGGATGAAGCCTTCGCCTTCTAGGTTTCCTTAGAAGCCTCCATTCCAGGCCCGGAAGAAGTTGTACCATACACCCAGACGGACAAATCCCATAAACATCATCTTGCGCCTTTGTGGACCATAGAATTTCTTCTTTTCATCCAGGAAGATGTCTCCTTTGAAATAAGGCTGAAAGTCCTTCACTTCAGTCCCAACCTTTTCCTTTACCACCGCATAGAGGGGAACACCCAGGTCATCCAACTTGGGTTTCAGGGAGGACAGGTCCATAGCCTCCTCTCGACATAGAAAACAGCCCGGCCTCCGCACAGCCATAATCACAGCTCCACTCTTTTCCCATAGTTCCTTTGCTTTGAAAGTCCTTGGTTCCTTCTCCAGTGTTTTCAGGTCTATATCTTCCAGATATTCCAGTGCTGCTTTCTTGGGCTTGGACAGAAACATGTCTGTGTTGGCCAGGAACAGTGCCAAAGCAGCAGCCCCCAGGGCTCCTGCACCAATGGACCACATTCCCATGGTGAAGACACTTGGGTCCTGTCCCTCTCAAATCCAATGGACAGTCAGAAAACATGGCTAGCAGCAGACAGATCTGAGTAGACACTTGTGATTCTTTCAGTGTCCATCACCTTTACATTCAGCTGGATTCATCTGCTTACTCAGTGGTGACCCAAGCCAGCAGCATGGCATGATTTTTTAAGCTGATGACCCTGCAATATCTGGGCTCACTGGGAACAGTTCAGCTAGCATCGAAGTGAAAATGAAGCAAAAATTGGTGCTCAGCTTCATTGTGTTAGGCCCAGATTCCCAGTCTGTGGCTGATAAAAGTCAAATCCAGATCAAGAATTGTTTCTGAACTGCAAAAATATTCTGTGGCTGATAAAAGTCAAGAATTGTTTCTGAACTGCAAAAATAGATGTGTACAGATCAGCTTCAAATGCCTTCCCTACTTACCAATTTCTCTTAATTCCACTTTTTCTTCTTCTTTTTTTTTTTTTTAGGCATAAAGATGTTCTACTTCCACAGTGTTCCCCATAGCAAAATCTGTAAGACTCTTTCTAGGACCCTCCATAGATGAGACCAGTAATTTATCATGAGGGCCCAGTCGTGGGATCATTCCTAGGTTAGGGAAGCAGGGCTTTCATGTGTTGGTTTTAATGTTAAGGCTGGTTCTCCTTTGCCGCCCATAAATCACTCTTATAATGTTAAACAACAGAGCTGTTTTAAGAATTTCTTTGCAAATATCCTTACATTTGTATCATTTTCTAAAATTACTAATTTATTGTATTATTTAAGTTTTATTTTACTTGACAAATAGAAATTTTATTTACTTGTCATGTAAAACATATTTTGAAATATGTATATGTCATGAATTAGCCAAATTGAGCTACATGTATTATCTTACATCTTTATGGTGAGAATACTAAATAACTTTTATTAACTATAGTCACCATTTTATACAATAAATTTATAGTGCTGAATTTTTCTTGAATTCATTCATTTAAAATTTTGTATCCTTTGACCAATGTCTCTTCAAAAGCCTCTCAATAATCACTGTTCTACTCTTCTATAAATTCAGTTTTTTTTTTTCCCACCACAAATAATATGAGATCTTGTGATGTCTTCCTGTGCCCAGCTTATTTCTCTTTGCATAATGCCCTCCATATATGTTGTTGCAACTGACAGGATTCTATTATTTGAAAGTCCCCATGGAAATTCATGTTGAAATTTAATTCCCATTGTGAGATAATAAGAGACGGAGCTTTAATGGATGATTAAGTCTGTTAAAAAAAAAAAAAGCTAAAACTGAAGAACCCCTATTAATACTTATTCTTAATAATTTCCTAATCCCTGGAACTATAGAAATATTTACTAATATTTAAAAAGAATGATTGGGCTTTATTTCCCTGGTTTCTGTCAATATATTTTTTTTGTCTTCCCCTAAATTCCATAAAATAAATTCAATGTTTAATGGATGACAAAGAATCCTAAGGAAATATGGTAAGGCTCAAATATTTCAAAATATACTTCATTTAAGAACACTGGCTTCTGAAAGGATTGTGTTCTTCCACTGGGTTTGCTCTTTTTTCTGACTACAATTCATTTACAAAACAAATAAACAAATAAAAAACCCCAAAACTAGAAGAACTAAAATCATAAAACTCCTAAAACAAGCTTCTGGATACTGACCTTCCTTGGCAATGATTTTTTTCTTCTTCTTCTAATATCACACCAAAAGCCCAGCAACAAAGAGCAAAAATAAACAAGAATTCTGTCTTTTTAAAATATATATATAATGAAAAGTCATATGATATTGTATAGATATGCTTTGTAGTGAACTATAGTAGCAATAATTTCTATCCATGATAAAGAGTTCGTTGCAGCATTTCTTTTCCTGTTCTTTTTCTCTCTGTTTTTAAGGGTTAGAATTAACAAAGGGAAGGAACAGAAAACTCAACATAAAGATTTAGAAGGAGAACTTATGGTGTTGGGACCGTGGCCATTATTGGGTGTTGGCTGAGGCGGCCTCATGGGTTAGCATTTCCGTATATATGACCTGGCTGGATTGGCGTTTGGGGGCTTTTAGCCCGCCCGCAGGCTTTTGACCTTAGCACCACCTAATGGTTTAATCTGAAATCTGCCTAGGCCTCAGTGGTAGTGACATAACTGCTCCTTATTGGTTCTTGCTACTGTCTCTTCTTACCCCCTCCTAGCACTATATAACCTTGTCCCTTACACAATAAAGTTGAGATTATTGCACCTTCACGGTTGACTCATCTCCCCACTCGGTGTGATTGTGGGCCAGGTTGGATGGCGGGCCGGGTAGAGACACTTAACCCTCTCGCTCAACCCCGGAGACACTAGCTGGTCTAGTGTGCTTCACTACCCCTGTTGGAGGGTGATTCCGACAGTTGGTGCCTCGGAGTCGATAGGCTGGTCTCCCACGTACCCTTGTCGCAGGGGGTGACATATGGGACCTAGATTTGAGATTCATTGGATGTGATTCTAAAATCTTTTATTAAGCACTGTCAAAATTCTAAGTTTCATAGGTGTGGGTATCATATATAGATCCTTCTATATGTGCTACCATAGATGTGAAATTCTTGACCTTAATATCACCTTTGAAAATGTTAAATAGAGAATTCGATTTTCTGGATTGGTGCATTATATTACTAAAGAACTATTTGATTTTCAGCACAGTGCAGAAGTTCTTTAAAAAACTTATGTCTTTTTCCTTAATTCCATTTTGTTTTAAATCACATTTTAAATGTAGTTTTCTCAGCTAGTAAAAGTTGTCCAACTGAAAAAAAAATAAACAAGCAAAACCACATCAAACTAAAATGCTTCTGCATAATAGGGGAAACAATGAAGAAAATGAAAAGGCAGCCTAAGATAGGGAAAAATTATTTGCAAACTATATATCCAATATGGGCAAATATTCAAGACAAACAAAGAACTCACACAACTCAATAGTCAAAAACAAAACAAACAAACAAAAAAACAACAAAACAAATACAAAAAACATACAACATGCAAGAAAGGCACAGTGGCACACACCTGTAATCCCAGTGGCTCTGGAGGCTGAGGCAAGAGGATCACAAGTTCCAGGTCAGCCTCAGCAACTTAGGAAGGCCCTAAGCAACTTGGTAAGACTCTGTCTCAAAACAAAATACTAAATAGGGCTGGGGATGTGGCTCAATGGATAAATGCCCCTGGGTTCAATCCCACATCTAAAAATAAAATAAAATTTTCATTTCCTTATTTACAAATGATATAGGAGCTATGTGACCCTGTTACCCCTGCTACTTGGGAGGTTGAGGCAGGAAGAGAGCAAACTCAAGGATAGACTGGGCAATTTAACAAGACCCTGTCTCAAAATAAAAATTTAAAAAGTGGAAAAAGTAGATGTAGCTCAGTGATAGGGTGCTTGCCTAGCATGCAAAGGCTAGGTTCAATCTCCAGTATTGTGAAAGAAAAAAAAAAAAAGAGAGAAAGAGGAAATTCCTGTCATTTGATTTCAAAAAATTGGTGGCAGAAAACTGATTTGGATGTCATATTATTTCAGGCTATAAATCTCTATTGAAACTAGTGACCTGAGAGGCCATCACACTGTTTCTACAACCATGGCCAGTCAGTCATAGGGGATTCAGTAGTTGCATGTATGCTGAGAAGCCAATGACCAAGGTGTTTGAGGCCTGCAAGTAAAAGAACCACAGCTCTTTGACCCTTGTTTGCAACATCAGGCCAGAAGTCCATAAAAATTAGCACTAAATGGATAGGAGAAGAAAGAAACCTATTCTGTGGATTGGCATTTACTCATGGAAAATGAAGTTTTAGCACAACTTGAGTTCTGTTCTTACGAAAGGCATTAAATTATTTCTGCATGTCCCTTCACATTCTGGAAATCAGCAAATCTAGCCTGTTATTTGTATAGACTTACTTATCCAGCGATTTCAGCTTTTTACCTCATAATTATTAGAAATTTAATGAGTATGTATTGTCTGTTTTCCTATTCCTTTTAGCTTAAGCAAAAAAAAATGTACCAACATTGACTTTTTATTTCTTAGATTCAGTAGGAAAAAAGAGAAAATTTAAAGAAAAAGATTAAATAATTTTTCCCCTAACACATTCTTGAAGGACAGGGGCTTTATCTAGGAAAAAATAGTAAATAGTTATTTATAACCTTTTTTAAATAGCAGCTAGCCTTAAAGTCATTTCTTCTGGCAAAAGTTTAGAACAATCAATACTAGTACATGTGTTTGGGCTGATTTTAGTTTATCTTTATCAAAATTATTAGTTAATAAGACTAAGTAATTTGTTATATGTTATTATTTGGGTTACTGATCATTTAGGAGATTTTGTTATACATTTTCAAAAAATAAAAAAAGACTAAAGTAGAAATTTTTAAGAACATTTATATGGCTTGACTTTAAATGGCTAAATGTCTTCTAGATCCTCAAAGCATGGTCCACAGATGAGCAGCATTAGCACCATCTTGGCTTATTAGAAATGCAAAATCTGGTCTCATGCCAGCAGTACTCAACAGGCATAGCCAAGTGATTCAAATGAAGTGACATACTAGACTACTTTTAAGATAGTTCAGTGAAGGGTTGGGGTTGTGGCTCACAGTAGAGCGCTTGCCTAGCATGTGAGAGGCACCGGGTTCAATTCTCAGCACCGCATATAAACAAATAAATGAATAAAGGTCCATTAATAATTAATAAAAATTTAAAAATTCACTGAGAGCTCAGTAGTGGGATGCTTGGCTTGCATGTGTTATGCCTTGGGTTCGATTCCTAGCACAGAAAGAAAAAAGGAAAACAAACACCAACAAAAAAAATTCGCCAAATAGGGTTGAAATATCCAGTATCATATATTGCAGTATAGTACTAAGGAGAGGAACACAGACTCTGGAGTCTGGTTTGATATGGAGAGCGGCAAATGAAATCATGGCCTCTGACTCTCTCCTGGCTGTGTTTGCGCTAGAAGCTGCTTGTGCGAAGATGTAGGTCAAAATGGCCCAGTTATGACACTATGAAGGCAGCGCAAAGAGGAAAGTTCATTGCATTAAGCTCTTTCATTAAAAAAAGAAAATAACATCAACAAATAAACAACCTGACATTACATCTCAAAGCCCTAGAAAAAGAAAAACAAATCAACACTAAAAGCAGTTGAAGACAGGAAACAATTAAAATCAGGGTGGAAATCAATGAAATTGAAAAAAAAAATTCAAAAAATAGACAAAACAAAAAGCTGGTTCTTTGAAAAAATAAATAAAATTGATAAACCCCTTAACACTCTAACGAAAAGAGAGAGAAAATGGAAATTACTAAAATTTGTGATGAAAAAGGAAACGTCATGACAGACACCACTGGTATACAGAAGATAATTAGAAACTATTTTGAAAATTTATACTCCAGTAAAATAGAAAATCCTGAAGCCACCAACAAATTTCTAGAGGCATATGATCTACCCAAACTGAATCAGGAGGACATACACAATTTAAATAGATGAATTTCAAGCAAGGAAAGAGAAGACACCATCAAAAGTCTACCAACCAAGAAAAGCTCAGGACCAGATGGATTCTCAGCCAAGTTCTACAAGACCTTCAGAGAAGAATTAATACCAATATTCAATTATTCCACGAAATAGAAAAGCAGGAAATCCTTCCAGACTCATTCTACAAAGCTAGTATCACCCCAATACCAAAGCCAGACAAAGACTCATCAAAGAAAGAAAACTTCAGACCAATATCCTTGATGAACAGAGACACAAAAAAATCTTAATAAAATTCTGGCAAATTTCATACAAAAACATATTAAAAAGATAGTGCACCATGATCAAGTGGGGTTCATCCCACGGATGCAAGGTTGGTTCAACATACGGAAATCAATAAACGTAATTCACCACATCAATAGACTCAAAGATAAAAATTATATGATTATATCAATAGATCCAGAGAAAGTATTTGACAAAATACTTCCATGTTCAAAACACTAGAAAAACTAGGAACATACCTCAACATTATAAAAGCTATATATGCTAAACCCAAGGCCAGCATCATTCTAAATGGAGAGAAATTGGAAGCATTCCCTCTAAAAACTGGAACAAGACAGGGTTGCTCTCTTTCACTACTTTTATTTAACAAAGTCCTCGAAATTCCAGCTACAGCAATTAGTTGAAAAAAATTAAAGGAATACAAATAAGAAAAGAAGAACTCAAACTATCATTATTTGCTGATGACATGATTTTATACTTAGAGAATCCAAAAACTTCCACCAGAAAACTTCTACAAGAAAAACTATAGAACACTAAAGAAAGAAATTGAAGAAGACCTTAGAAGATGGAAAGACCTTTCATGCTCTTGAATACACAGAATTAATGTTGTCAAAAAGGCCAAGCTACCAAAAGCACTATACAGACTCAATGTGATACCAATTTAAATCCCAATCTCATACCTCATAGAAATAGAAAAGGTGTCATGAAATTCATTTGGAAAAATAAGAGACCCACAAGAGCCAAAGCAATCCTTAGCAAGAAGAGTGAAGCAGGTGGCATTAAAATACCAGACTTAAACTACCCTCTAGAGCCATAGTAACAAAAACAGCATGGTATTAGCACCAAAACAGACATGTAGACCAACGGTACAGAACAGAAGACATAGAGACAAACTCATATAAATAGTTATCTCATTCTAGACAAAGGTGTCTAAAACATATACTGAAGAAAGCTCTTCAAAAAATGGGGCTCAATAAACTGGAAACCCATATGCAGCAAAATAAAGTTAATCCCCTATTTCTCATCATGCACAAAACTCAATGTGGCTCAAGGACCTAGGAATTAGACCAGACACTGAGCCTAACAGAGGAAAAAGTAGGCCCAAATCTTCATCATGTCGGATCGGGCCCTGACTTCCTTAACAAGACTTCTAAAGTGCAAGAAATAAATCAAGAAGCAATAAATTTAAACTAAAATGCTTCTTCTCTGCAAAAGAAAACAATCAATGAGCTGAAGAGAGAGCCTACAGTGTAGGAGCAAAATTTTGCCACATGAACATCAGATAGAGTACTAATCGCCAAGATATATAAAGAACTCAAAAAACTTAGCACCACAAAACCAAACAACCCAATCAATAAATGGACTAAGGAACTGAAGAGACACTTCTCAGAAGATATATAATCAACCAACAAATATATCAAAAAACGTTCAACACCTCTAGTAATCAGAGAAATGCAAATCAAAACTACTCTAAGATTTCATCTCACTCCAGTCAGAATGGTAGTTATCAAGAATACAAGAAACACTAAGTGTTGGCGAGGATGTGGGAGAAGAGGCACACTCATTCATTGCTGGTGAGACTGCAAATTGGTGCAGCCAATATGGAAAGCAGTATGGAAAATCCTTGGAAAATTGGGAATGGAACCACCATTTGACCAAGCTATCCCTCTCCTCGGTCTATACCCAAAGGAGTTAAAAACTGCATACTACAGTGACACAGCCACATAAATTTTTATAGCAGCACAATTCATAATAGCTCAACTGTGGAACCAACCTAGATGGCCTTCAATAGATAAATGGATAAGGAAACTGTGGTATATACGCAATGGAATATAACTCAGCGATAAAAGAGAATAAAATCAGGGCATTTGCAGGTAAATGGATGGAATTAGAGAATATCGTGCTAAATGAAGTAAGCCAATCCCCCAAATCCAAAGGCCAAATGTTTTCTCTAAGTGGATGCTAATCCATAATGGTGGGGCATGGGATGAGTTGAAGAACTTTGGATTGGGCAAAGGGAAGCGGGGAAATGGGCATGGGAGCAAGAGAGATGGTGGAATGAGAAGGATATCATTACCCTAGGGTACATATATGATTGCACAAATGGTGTGATCCTACTTCGTGTACAACCAGAAGTGAAAAATTGTGCTTCATTTGTGTACAGTGAATCGAAGAGCATTCTTCTGTCATGTATAACTGATTAGAACAAATAAATTTAAACAAAAATGGCCCAGTTATATGGTAACGCTGGCCAGGGGTGCCATGTGTGAAGGCTCGAGGCTCTATCAGTTGAAGACTTGAGTTCAGCACTTTCTTCCAGAGATAGAAGATTCTGAGCAAAACAAGATGATGACCCTACTATCTTGCAAGTTCTGCATCCTTCAGACTCTGTCTGCTTTGCTGAAACTTTCCCATAATTGAACTTTTTTTAAAAAAATTGGGGGTGGGGTGGTATCTCTGATAAATCAGGGATTGAACTCAGAGGCACTTGACCACTGAGCCCCATCCCCAGCCCTATTTTGTATTTTATTTACAGACAGGGTCTCACTGAGTTGCTTAGCACCTTGCTTTTGCTGAGGCTGGCTTTGAACTCTCAATCCTCCTGCCTCAGCCTCCCAAACTTTTAAGATTACAGGCATGCACCACTGTGCCCGGCCACAATTAACCTTTTAATGATGAAAACTATCAAATAAACTTTCTGAGCTAGCTCTGAGTCAGTCACCAGTCTGTCAGCATTCACTTGGCTGTGAGACTTGGCTACCACTTGGCTACCAATCTGGCCCCAGCTTTTTCTCCCTAGGTGTGTCCGTCTTTTCTTTATCTCCTATCGCTCCTACAGTATTTCCCTTAATTAACAGCCAGGACCCAGAGTAGAGATGGGGCCCTGGCAGTTTGACACTGTAATTTGATGCTTAGTAACACCTCTTAACTGGGTGATATTAGTCATATGTAACTCTATTCCTTGGTTTCATCATTTGTATAATGGGAATGGATAGGTGTATCTATCACATAAGAATGATGTAAAAGTTTAAATATTGCATAAAAATGCTTAGAATTAGATCCTGGCTTGCTACAGATGATCAGTGAATGTTTACTATCATTATTTATTAACATTATTATTTGTATTAAGTTTAATTGCTATGAAAACAGTGAAAAGTTGGGAAAAAAATAGGAGTGATCTAGTAGATTAAAATTGAAGTCACACCTAAATTGTACCAGTTAAAAATATTTTTTAAAACCAAGATATTTTGGTCACTTAAAATTAGAAATAGGGGGCTGGGGATTTGGCTCAAGCGGTAGCGCACTCGCCTGGTATGCGTGTGGCCCGGGTTCGATCCTCAGCACCACATATAAACAACGATGTTGTGTCCGCTGAAAAATAAATATTAAAAAAAAAAAATTCTCTCTCTCTCTTAAAAAAAAAAAATAGAAATAGGTAAATCACATTGAATTTCAGCCTCCCGAGTAGCTGGGACTGCAAGTGCACAATATCACACAAGGCTCATTTATGAATTTCAAGCAGTCCAGTGTCTCTTGTTTTACTACACACTTTTACAAACGTCAAATACCGTACTTTATCTTACCAATCGCTTGCTATAAAGTAATGCTGTACTGCTGCCACTGGAAACTGCCCATTTAGAAAAATGCATGACATGTTCCAACTGCTTAGAAAGTCCAGCTACTTCCTGTTGTTGTTGCATAAGTTTCATGCGATGATCCTTTGCAAGGCTCTGAAAAGAAGGAAATAATTTCAAATTATTTTCTGCACTTAACATTTATTTCAAAGGACATTTTTAGATAAGCAAATGAGAATAAGTCCCCTCAAATATACCAACTGATAGCAGTTGAAAATACTCTTAGTATTTTTTTCCTTAGTACAAAAGATCACTCTCACTGGAACAAACAAACAAAAACCATATCTCATAAATTGCCTCCAGCCCTTATCCCTTGGGTTTGGCTTTACATATTCTGGGCTTTAGATCTTTGTTAATGCATCCTGCCAAATACACAAAAGGACAAAAGCATGCATTACCTATAAAATACACAATGTTAAGTTCAAAATTTGCAAATGAAATAGATGTACTATTAAGCAATTTAATGATTCAATACATACAGTGGATAATTGTGTTAATGCACTTTTATAAAGCTACATAAAAGCAGAATACAGAATGATTTTATCAATGATATGATCTTACCTTTTAGGTATTCTAGTCCCACCTGAAACTAGTTTGTGCTCAGAATAATGAAGTGTGGTAAATAACACTTCTCCTTTGGATGTAGTATTAATATTTAGAAAGGCATTGTTATGGTTTACATATGAGGTGTCCCCTAAAAGCTTGTGTGAGTAAGGCAACAAAATTTAGAGATGAATCAGGTTATGAGCATCTTGATATAATCAATTAATCCCTGACAGGGATTAACTGGGTGGTAACTATAGGCAGGTAGGGTGGGTGTGGAGGAAGTAAGTCATTGGGGGCATGCCTTGGGGGTTTATATTTTGTCCATGGTGAGGAGAGTCTCTTTCCGTGTTTCCTGGTGTGATGTCCTGAGCTGCTTCCCTCTGTCACACCCTTCCACCATGCTGCTCTTCCTCGCCTGGAGCCCTGGGGAAGAGAGTCAGCTATCTATAGACTGAGACCTCTGAAATCATGAGCCCCCAAATAAACTTTTTCTCCTCTAATTGTTCTTATCAGTCTTTTGGTCATAGCAGCAAAAAAGCTGATTAAAACAGGTATGATATCATTTCTGTCTACTGAGAATTACCATGGGATCCAAAACATACAGTGGATAATTGTGTTAATGCACTTTTATAAAGCTACATAAAAGCAGAATACAGAATTTCTGTAAGGAAAATACATACTGCCTTTAGAAAACAGGGTAGTCCTAAAGTGGAGAGCACTAAACTTGGATTATTTTAAAGGTCCATCCAAAAACCTCATTCTCATCCTAGCAAAGAAAGGGGAATAAACAGGGCTTCCTACTAACTCAAATAAGAAAAGTTTAAAAGTAAAACTGCTATATTTCAACATGTACCTATGTTCTCAATAAAGACTGCATTTTTTAGTTCTAAATTTGGAAAACACACATGCTAATTAAATTGATTTAGCTACTGAAGGACTGTTAACAGGCAATGACTTTGCCATATCTAATTTAAGCTTAAAGAGAAGATGACTTACCTTTTAGACTATTTCTGACCTCTGTGAGACCTAAGTGTTTCTTTGGAAACATTCTAGTGGAAATAGAAATTTGTTGACTTTTGAGGAGGTTGCAAATTAAGAAGAAGAAGCCCTAGTGTCTTGGTCTTCTATGGTAACAACTGTTTGGACTTTAGCAAATAAAATTGGTTAAATTTATTTGCCTTTAAGGAGAACTCTGAACCAGGAAAATTGTTATGAGGAATAGAGGCATTTTTAAAAGGTGCCGTGAAAATTACAAGTAAAGACTGATTAAAAATAATATTGATGACCAGATTCATTTTTATAGATTCAAGGGTCTGGTTATTTTAAAGTTCTTCAAATGATTCTAATGTACAATAAAGTTTGGAAACAGCAGTATGTGCATTACTAATACCTGGGGAAGCAAATCAAAGTGATGTTTATTAAGTAGAGCTTTGAATACTTCCAATTTTGATTAAATGTGGGTTTTTAAAAGTTTATATACAAATTGCAAAGACTTAAAAAACATAGTTACTACAAAGGGGGTCGGATTCCTTCTGCTCAAAACATTTCCTAACCAAATAACTTATTCCTAAAAAACTGAGAATTATTTTAGTCTTTGTTTCATGGGACTGGTTGATGAAACGTGGGAATGACTAGACTTTCAAGCAAGAACTTTTTGACAGAGAACTTAAACTTGGTCAACTATGAAATAAAGAGGTTGAACTTATTATTTCTAGAAATCTTAATTTTCTTTAACTCTGCTAATGTTAGGATTCTTTAATTCTCATTCTAAATTGCTTCTTGACTGTGAATTCTTTCTGCATCAATATATTAAAGAATGCCTCAAAATGATGCAATTAATATTATACCTTAAAATACAATGTACAAGTTGTTATCTCATATTATTTGATGTCAAGCACTGACTTTGGATATTGACCTTCATGAGTTCAAAAAAAGCTGATGAAGATAGCAATATTTTTCTTAACTGCAGTTAGAAACAACTATCCTAGTTGCCTTGAACATCACTTCCTAAGTGATGCTTTCATATTAATACTATAAAATGTTGAGGGTAGGAGCCACAATAATTTACTTAATTTCTCACAGGGTTAAATACAAACGGTTATGCACTGTTTAACAATAGGATATACTATATGAAACATCATTAAGCAATTTCCTCATTGGGCGAACATCTCAGGGTACACTTACACAAATAATCTTATGGGACCACTGTTATGTATGTAGTCTGTTTGTTATAATTTGGACATGGAATGTTCCCCAAAAGTCCATAGCTGGTGGCACTATAGTAGGGTGGTGGGGTCTAGTTGGAGGAAGGGCACTAGGGATATACCTTTGAAGGATATATTGGGACCCAGGCCTCTTCCTCTGTTGTTGCTTCCTGGCAGCCATGAGGTGAGCAGCGTTCCTTTACATCATGCTTTGCCATGATGTTCTGCCTCACCATGGGCCCATATGATGGGGCCAAGAAACCAATGGACTGAAACTTCTTCAACAATGAGCCCAAACAAACCTTTCCTCCTTTAACTTAATTTTCTCAGGTATTCTATCACAGTGATGGAAAGCTGACTAACTCATCATTGTTGACAGAAGCATCACTATGTGGGGCATGAGTGATATCTCCCAGTGTTATCTTCCTAGAAAAATTTATTGGAACTCTGCCACTTTGGTGATACAAAGTTATCACTTCAGTGAATTTGTAAAATGGCCCATCTCTTCAACATTCCTTCTATGAGCAAAACTTACGTTTATGTTGTGAAGCAAACAATGAGGAGTAAAACATTCCCAGTGTATTATAAAACTATAAATAGACAATACAGAATCTGTCAAAGGAAAACTAGGATTGGGGAAGAGATGTTATCAAATTGTAAATGGAAACGATTACAAAAGGACTATGATTTCAAATTCACATACATTAGAAAATTTTGTTGAATCACAACACACTGTCCCCTCTAGTAACTTACCTCTAGCTGATGCAGCAGAGCTTTTCCTTTTTTATTTATTTCTACCATCAATGTAAAGATAGCAACTTTAATATCCTGTTCCACCTGCTTTTGATTTTGATTTACTTCAATTATTCTGAAAATTAAATGAAGGAAAAAAATCTAAAACTTAAGGCAGATTTTTTTTTACAATATTTAAAATTTATATTTTAATATCTAAATTAAACCAAAATGTTTTCAGCCCTTTAAAGATCCATTTCTGGGTCCTTCCATTTATTTATTTTTACTCGTGTATTTATTTTTTGGTACTAGGGTTCGAATCCAGGGTGCTTTACCACTGAACTACATTCCCAACCTTTTTTATTTTTGAATCTTAGGCAGGGTCTCGGCTAAGTTGCTGGGGCTCTCACTAAGGTGCCAAGGCTGGTCTCAAACTTGCTAAACTTCCTGCCTTGGCCTCTCAAGTCTCTGGATCATGGGCAGGTGCCACCATGCCCAGCTGAGTCCTTCCATTTAAAATCAACTGTTCTGAAGATGACAATGAAATTAAATTCTGAAAGATAACAAGTCATTCAGATTGATCTTTAAAGCAAAATACTCAAAATTGGAAGAGAATGAGCACATTTTAGGAGAATGTTATTTGGAAAGATTATGATATCCAGGAAAATCAATACTCTAACTACCTAAAGGATGGGGTAGGGGGATTGGACTAAAACTAGGATTTATAAACATGATAAAGAAACTATGACTGAACTAGTTTTGTCATGCTCACTGCAACTAAGAGGTAGAAAAGTATAAATACAATACTCTGACCTTAGACTTCTGAACTGCTGAAGTATTCATTATATCTGAATGAAAGCAAAAAAAAAAAAAAAAAATCTTCGCTACTTCTTACAAAACATATTTATCTTGAAAACTAAACAGTCAAATAACTATGTTATGTTTCATCAATCAAAACTTTTCTTCCTTCAATTTGAAAGAGTGGGAATGTGATCTCATGGAAATGAAATAGATAGAAAGAAAACATACAGCATCACACCAGAATATTTTACAGAAGTAGAAAAGACAGTAAGTCAAATATCAAACTTTATGAAATTAAAGAAAAAGCTTCATTTCTCCTGTTTATCCCATACTATACTTCTCATTTTAAAACCAAAATGGTGGAGATATTATTCTCTGTTGAACATTCTTCAAGATAAATTGTTTAATATCAACTTAGCTATAGGATTAAGAGACCTATATAAGCCTATGAAGCAACCAATCTCAAAAAACAAAAACAAAAACAAAAAAACAACTCATTTAAATCTTTCTGATGGTAGAATGTATAAATAAGGGGAAAACAGACATGTTTACAAACACATAAAAATGAGTTAATAGCAAAATTAGTGTGGTAATTTAATCCTTCTAAAATCAGATAGGCTATAAAGAAATGCAAGTAATCAATACATTAATAATGAAGATTCTTTAAATTTTTACATTTCAGAAGCTAACATCTTGACATATAAGAATGCTATTATTTTGTTAAAAAACAGAATTGCATAAATCACTAAAAAAGAAAACAAGTAAAAACATATTTGAAGAACTCACACTACCTGATTTCATGACATTATAAAAATGAAAGTTGAGTATTGGCAAAAAAGAAAAAAAGAAAACACAATCAATGGAACAGAGCACAGTTAAGAAATAACCCCACACTTACATGGTTAATTGATTTTCCACAAAGGTGCCAAGGCAATTCAATAGAGATAGGGTAGTCTTTTCAACAAATGATGTTGGAAGAATGGACCACCACATGTTTAAAAAAAAAGAAAGGTATCCTGACCCATAGCTCATAACATAGACACAGTGGAAGAGATAGAAAAAAGTCAAAAGGGTAAATCGCAGTAAGGGTAGATCTTTTACTAAATTATTTTATATGACTACTTTTTGCCACTAGATGGTAGAAATGTCTATAATTATCTCCCCTGGTTCGTTTAGTAAATGTTCATTATAAATTTTCAGTTACTCAGAATCAAAAATTTAAAAACCTACTAATATTATCCTGATTAGAACAGTATATTCTAAAGCACTTTTAGAAAAAAGAACTACTCTTTGGTTAAAGAGTTGTTACATGAAAAGAGAAAGGTTAAAGAAAAAAGAGCTGATAAAGAAGAGTAAGAAAAACTAAAAAAAGACTCACAATATAAAACAATGTATATAATATATAATAATTATGTAATAATAATACTGGAACATCAAGAAAAGTCATATTTAAGAATCTCTTTTAAAGAAATCTGATAATACATTAAATTACCTAAAAAATTTTTCCAAATGCTCCTCCACCCTTAACTATGTTCCAAAATGATAAGAATGACAGAAAATTATGATGAGTCTTGAGCAAGATGAACCCCAAAGGCTGACACAATTTTCCCAGTGAACAATATTCAAAGCCCCTGCCAGGCCTCTTTTGTTCGGGTTCTTTCCATTTGGCATTTCTTGACCTATTTAGGCAGTGGCATGTTACTTTTGTATGTTAAACAACAAAAGAAAGAGGACATGGGATTTCACAAGTGTGTTAAAGTGTTAATTAAATGTCATTACATGCCCTACATGGGATTAAAAAAAAAAAAAAGCAGTGAGACAACCCCCTTTCTTACAAAGAGTTAGTTGTTTGCTACCCAATTGCTAAATTCTAAGATGTAAGCCTTTGGACATTTGATTTCCTTCTTTGGAGGATAAAAGGTATAACAAGTAATACCTAGAAACTGTCTACATATTGTATTAGACAAGGAATAAAAAGGTATGTTTAACAATCCCTGTCTTAGTGTCCTAAAATTGCTACCCCTTTGCAATGAAAGATCATAGCCTTAGGGGAGGGCATCCCAAATTTTAGCAAACCTTAAAACAGCAATTAAGTATATAATCAACTATTTAAATATTTTATAATGCTGGAAAAAATAGTTGATCTTGTTTTTAAATCTTGGCATATCTTTAAATTGGAAAATACCAAATAATTATAAATTATTAATACCTACCAGATATATAAGTTATTACTACTTATTTTATTAACACATTAGTTTAAAAAAATTCATAGATGAAAAAAATGCTTTCTAACCCAAAGTTTCCAGAAAAAAATTGAGTCATCTGATAGCTTACTAATTGCTTCACAATGAGTTAAGAAAAATGTTCTCTTAAATGTGAATACACTTAACATATAAAAATGATTTAGTATAATACCATAAGTACAAATTTACCTGTTTTGGATCTGATTTCCTGTGTATTTAATGTATTTTGTTTTTTCCATCAGTTTGGTGATTAGTGTATCTATGATCACTTTCTGATTTTGAAAAGCTTCTTCTATAAATTGATATCTGAAGAAATAAGTAAATAGGCAAATTATTTCAAACAAATATATGTATAAAATGAGGGGAAGTCCAAATGTAAAAAAAAAAAAATGAGTAATAAAAAATTAAGATTATAAAGGATATAAATAATAATCTTTAAAAAGTACCAAACACAACCCTGTAAGGCAGGTTTTCCCCTTTCTCTCATATTATTCCTTAAGAAGGATATTGAAAGATAATGTTTATGGACATTCTTAAAATTATTTCTTAAGTTTAAGAAAGATACACATCCATCACTAATAGTTTTAAAGGCTTACAGAGCACATTGGGCAGATCTGGCAAAAAATAAGATTTATTAACTATTAACTATTTCATCATTTAACAGTTCTGAAAGTTTCTTTCTAATGATGGATTTAGCTATAAAACTTAAGGCTTGGTTGATACGTACTATTTTTTACTATAATTTAGATAAAAATATTTTCTAATATCCGTTAGGATTTCTTTGGTGATTTAGTTAATTATTAATGATTTATTCTGAAGTAATTTCAAAATGAAATATGTAAGAGTTCTAAGATTTATTTTTCAAATTTTGCCCTTTAGCCACATAATTCAGTGTGCGTTTCCTAAAAACAAGAATGTTCTCTTATTTAATAATAGTAGTTATTAAATTCAAGAAAACTGATGTTCGTAAGTCATGTACCCTTTTAGACTATATCCCATATATGTCATTTGTCTCAGTATCTTCTAGACCTTTTTCTTTCTAGGATACTCCATGATCATTTATCAGAACATTTAATTTTCATATTCCATTTCTTCTCTTCCAAAAGCACAGTTTTTTCCTCTTCTACTGTTGTTTTCTAGATTAATTCTATTGGGTTATACAAGTTATTTTGCAGGATTTCAATCCTTTGAAATTTAATACTTTGCTTAGTAATATGGTCAATTAAAATTTTTTCTTTGTATGTTTGAAAAGAATGTGTATTACTCAGTATAGTTTTCATAATCTCCATAACTTCATTTGCTAATTCTGTTATTATAATCTTACTGACATGTTCTTTATTGATTTTTAGTCTTATTTTGTCAATTATGTATTTAATATACTTTGGAACATATATTAAAATTTTCCACTCTGTGTACTTACCAGTTTAAAGTTCTGTCATTTTAAGTTTATGATGCATATAAATTTAGAGCTGTTGTATCTTTTAAATTAAGCCTTTTATCTTCATAAAGCTTCCCTTTTAATCTAAAATAATATATTTTGTCTGCTACTTCAGCTTGCCTTTGGTTAGTATCTGTATGACATATCTTTTCCTATTAATCTTTTTATTTGCTCAGGATTTAGATATTTCTCATAAAAAGCACATAGCAGGAGCATCTGAGGATGTAGCTCCTTAAGGCCCCGAGTTTGACCCCCAGTGCCATAAAAAAACAAAATAGCGGATTTTTCTATTTTGTTTCTTATCTAGACTGAAATTGTTTGATAATTTGGAACATTTTATGCATTAAGATTTGATATAAGTATGAATGTATCTGCAGATGTACCAATTACCAAGACCTTATTTGAACCCACTTAATCTTTGTTGCTTTGTCTTACTTTGGTAGCCTAGTTTAGACTGATGGATTACTCTATAACCTTGGACCCCTTCATATATTTTTTACTATTCTTCTAGTGACTATCCTAGACATTACAAAATATATATCTAAACTTACCATCATCTAATATTAATCCGTACATTTTACATTTTTCCTAGACTCCATGTCTCCTAACATGTCTGCGTAACACACGATACACACATATACCATAAACCAAGAAATTGTTTCCTAGGTCAATATTCATTTAGCTTTACTCATATCTATTACTTTTTTCTTTGTGCATCTCCTACTGTTATTTATTTACCTAAAGGGGTACTTTAGTGAGGGTTTACTAGAGATAGATTCTCTAAGTGTATTTAGTATGAAAATATCTCATTCATTTTTTTTTCTCATTCATTTTTTAAAAAAATATGCACACTGGGGATAGAACTTGAGATTTGCAGTAATTCTTTCTATAGTTTAAAAATGTTAGTTTCTTTCTTTCTTTTTTTAATATTTATTTAGTTGTAGATGAACACATAGTAATCTTGATTTCTTTTTTATGTGGTGCTGAAGATCGAATCCAGTTCCTCACACATGCAAGGCAAGCACTTTACCACTGAGCTACAGCCCCAGCCCAAAAGTATTACTTTCTTAACAATCCTGCTGGGTATTGTAGGACTTCTTGAATATGAACTAGATGTCTTTCATGAGTACTTGCAAGTTCTCAGCCATTTCATTATTTTCTCAAGTAATGCTTCTTTCCCATTCTTTTGTTTCCTACTTGGATTGCAATTACATCCATATTGAAAACTTTCTTCTATGTTTCATTCTTTTGTTTACCAAGCTTCATTCTAGACATTTTCTTTTTTTTTTTAATTTATTTTTATTTTTATTTATTTATTTTTATTGGTTGTTCAAAACATTACAAAGCTCTTGACGTATCATATTTCATACATTAGATTCAAGTTGGTTATGAACTCCCAATTTTACCCCAAATACAGATTGCAGAATCACATCAGTTACACATCCACATTTTTACATAATGCCCTATTAGTAACTGTTGTATTCTGCTACCTTTCCTATCCTCTACTATCCCCCTCCCTCCCCTCCCATCTTCTCTCTCTACCCCATCCACTGTAATTCATTTCTCTCCTTGTTTATTTTCCCATTCCCCTCACAACCTCTTATATGTAATTTTGTATAACAATGAGGGACTCACTCCCTCCATTACCATGCAATTTCCCTTTTCTCTCCCTTTCCATCCCACCTCATGTATCTGTTTAATGTTAATCTTTTCTTCCTGCTCTTCCTCCCTGCTCTGTTCTTAGTTGCTCTCATTATATCAAAGAAGACATTTGGTATTTGTTTTTTAGGGATTGGCTAGCTTCACTAAGCATGATCTGCTCTAGTGCCATCCATTTCCCTGCAAATTCTATGATTTTGTCATTTTTTAGTGCTGCGTAATACTCCATGGTGTATAAATGCCACATCTTTTTTATCCATTCATCTATTGAAGGGCATCTGGGTTGGTTCCACAGTCTAGCAATTGTGAATTGTGCTGCTATGAACATCGATCTAGATATTTTCTTAATTTTTAGTTCAAAAATTCTCATTTCCTGCTATGTCAAATCTGCTGTTCAAACTTCTATTGAATTAATTTCAGTTGCTGTAATTTTCTGTTCTATACTTTCCATTTTGCTTTCTTTTTATAGTTTTTAATTTTAATTTTTATTCTAATTTGTTATATATGACAGCAGAATGCATTACAATCTGTATTACACATATAGAGCATAATTTTTCATATCTCTGGCTATATACAAAGTATATTCACACCACTCGTGTCTTCATACATGTATTTAGGGTAATGATGTCCATCTCATTCCACCATCTTTTATACACGCCTGAAATACTACACCCAAACTTTCCATTTTGTCTTTTACCATGTTGAACATATGATGCAGAACTGTGGGTCTTTTTATTCTTTGTTATATCTACTAGGTTTCATTTACAATGTCTAATCAAACATACCTGGCTATTTCTAACTATATACAGAATAACATTTTATAAAATTCACTACCCAAATAAGTTTTAAGCCTAGAATATTTTCCTTTTCTACGGAGGATTCACATTTGATTCTGACAGGTGCTTTGGGACATCACAGTAAGAATTCATATTAATTTAATGCGAGGTACTGCTCACTAGCTAATTGATCATTACTATAAGGGTCCCAACTCAAGGCAAGAGGAAGCTTTTACTCCTTATGAACCTGAACTCAAATCCCTCACTTCTCAGCCCTGAGAGTATATTAAAATTATTCCTCAACCTCTAGGCAAATATCTCAAGAGGTAAAAAAGTCTCTGCAATTCTCTGCCCCTATTTTCAACCAAATCCTGATACAATAATTCTTTACTACTTGATTATATCTGAAATTTCTTATAGATAATTTCTGGATTTTACCCAGCTTTTCTCCTGATCTTCATTGGTATGCTTGCTCCAAATTATCCAGACTTCCATTATGGGAAATTTGGACCATTATAGGCAACTATACATGTGTCAACTAATCTGAATGTTACTGCCCAAATCAGTGGTTGCTAACTCAAGTGCCTATGGAGGTTAGATGTAAAAGTAAGCTTTGGTAAGATCTACGATGAACCAGAAATGGCATGTCTTATTCTGAAGAGCATTAAAGTTAATTCCAGCTAAATGCTGGCGTGAAAGTATATGAACTTAGGGCTACAACAGTTATTTCTTAAATGAAACCAGAAATCTAGATTTATTTTTTAAATAGAAAATATCCTAATTTTATAACACCTATAACTAATTTCACATGTTCTAAAACAGAGTCTGAACTAGAGTTTCTCACTCAGGGTGATTGTGTTACATAGGATATTTGGTAATATCTAGAGATATTTTTAAATTGTCATGACTAGGGAAGGATGTGGGGTGCAGTGGCAACTAATTGTTAGAGGTCAAGGATGTTTGCTGCTAAACCCCACACAATGTATGACATTCCCCAAAACAAAGAATTATCTAGCTCAAAATGCCAATAATGCCAAAGTGGATAAGCTATGGTACAGGCCAGCATACCACTTTGCAGACTGCCATTTAGCTGAGGTGATAGCAGTTCTCAAGTCCATATAGAACTTTATTATAAATCTGTCCATAATGAATAGTGCTAGTACCTATGCTCCTTGTGCTCTAGCAGTTGACAGTCCCGACATGTCAGTTTGTCACACGTCTCACAATAAAGCTTCAATTGCTCCTTTTTATGAAAAGGACAAAACACTGGTCGTTGGCTGGTCACACCCACTGCCTCTGCAGAAATCATGGAAAGCAAAGAGGAAAAAAATTAACATAATTTTTTCGTACTTCATACTTACTAGATTGTCCACTTAAACTCAAATCTATAGATATGAGAGCCACAAATAATTTTTATCTATACTGTAACTACTACTAGGTATTACAGGTATATAATATTAAATATTTTCAGTATTTCTAAAAAAATATAAATGAGCTTTTCATTTTCTACAATAGAAGTTCACATTAATTCAGTAGTAAATGAAAGAGCAAAGTTGTGTAATTAAAAAGATGTTTTTTCTATGCCAAATTTGAAAGGACATTTTAAAAAATGTGATTCATAAAAATCTAATAAAAATATATAAAAGGAATAGTGAATAAGAAACCTCCCTATTTTTGCAAAATTCCTAACAAAGGATACCCATTTAGACACAAATAATCTTAAGTGTTTTTACTATTACACTACAGTTACTCTAGTGAATTTTTATTAGTTTTTTAATGTGGGGATAAAACTGAGAAATTCTTATGTAATAATTTTAAGTGGAAAAATCAAGAATACAAATGACTATTCTGGTTGATCAAACAGTAATACCAGTTATCTCACCAATAATCAAAGGTAAAACTCCAAACATTTCGCAAATAATCCCACTTTCAGAGACAACTATTCTTAATAACCTAGAATGTATTACTCTGGTTGTTTTGGGGTATATAGAACCCTATGTAATATAGTACAGTGTTATAGCTTAGATATTAGGTACCCCCCAAAAAAAGCTTATGTGTGAGATGATGCAACAAAGTTTGTAGGTAAAATGAGATTAATGTACTTTATCAGTGCATTAATCCCCTAATAGGGACTAACTGAATAGTAACTATAGGCAAGTAGGGTATGGCTAGAAGAGATGGGTCATTGGGGGCATGTCTTTGGGGGATTTAGTTTAGGTAAGTGTAGTGTCTCTTTGCTTCCTAGTGTGATGTTCGGAGCTGTTTTCTGTCGCACACATCCACCTTGATATTCTACCTTACCTCAGGCCCTGAGGAATGGAGTTGGCTGCCTATGGACTGAGCCCTCTGCAACCATAAGCCCCCAAATAAATTCTTCTTCCTCTAAAATTGTTTTTGTTGCGCCTTTTGGTCACAGCAGCTAAAAAGCTGACTAAAACATGCAGTGTTTTGTTTTATAAAATAAAAAAATGCGCTGGGCATGGTGGTACACATCTGTAATTCCAGCTCCCTGGAAAGCTACGGCAGGAGGATTGCAAACCCAGCATAGTGAGATCCAGTCTCAAAATAAAAGTAAAAAGGACTGGAGATGTAGCTCATTGTTAGAGCAGCCCTGAATTCAATCCCCAGTACTGCCCCCTCAAAATAGGGCAGGGGAGAGAGGATATAAAATTTAGTGACATGACACACATTGTTATGTAAGATATTCTTTTTCTCCCTTAACTCTTAGATACCTTTCTGTGTAAGTAAATAAGAATGAGGTAGATGTATTTATTAATTGTATAACATTCCATCAAATGGGCAAACCATGTGCTAGTGCAAGGTCCTCATTTCTCAATATCGTATGAAAATGCTGAAAAACACATACAAAGCAATAAATCACTTGAGTGTTTCCATAAAATAAATTCCTAGTGCTAAAATTGTTAGGTCAAAGGGTAATTTTAGATAGAAATAACTAAATGACCCCCTCAAAATAGAACCAATTTATATAGAGAGGGTATTTTCTATATTTTTATGGAGTAGAGAATATTGGTAGGGGATATTCTCCATATTTTTAAATCGTGCCAATAGATGAGAAAGGGAGAGAGAAAAATAGCAACATTTTAGGATAAATTTCTTTAACAACTGAAGTTGAATAACTTCAGTCATCAGCCATTTATATTTCTTTTAAAAATTTTTGTTGGCTGGGGGGCTGGACTTATGGCTCAGTGGTAGAGCACTTGTGAGGCATTGGGTTTGATTCTCAGCACTGCATATAAATAAATAAAATAAAGGTTCATTGATAACTAAAAAATATTTTTAAAAAAGTTGTTGGCTGGACTGGGGATATAGCTGAGACAGCACTTACCCAGAATGCAAGAGACCTGAGGTTTGACCTCAGCATTTACAAAAAAAGGAAGAACTGTCTGCTAATAACTCCTACAAATTTTCTTTCCAATTTGCTTTCTTGTTGACTTGCATACGAACTTAGTAAATTGCCTGCCTAAGATCTTCAAACATTTTTCCCAGTTTAACTTCTCTTAAGGTGTTGTTTTTCTAAACAGATATATTTAATGGTTTCAGTTTTTAAGAAACTATCTACAAAGTCTATAGTTATAAAAAATGTTTGTTTTTCCTTTCATGATATACCTTTTAAGGTTTTCATTTTGTATTTAAATCTTTGATTCACTAAAAATTTATTTTGATATACTTCTAAATCCTTAAAAAATCCTTTTGTGTATACTAGCAAAGAGAATGAATTATAAGATTCACATTTTCATGATCATAATCCAATAAGTTAAAAATAGAAACTAATAAAACCAAAACACTAAGAAAATTATTTTGTTCTTTTAAAGAATTCTTAGATTCATAATAATCACAATGTTAAACAACTTCTTTTTGCATTTAACATACATCACGGACATTTATAGACCTACCAAAGTAGTTTTGAAAACAAGCAAACACAAAAATTCATGTATCTTCAATTGCTTGGTAACTATACATGCAGGATATTTTAAAAATGGCAGAAATCAAAGTGGTAAAGTATAACTCAAACTTTAAGCACTTGTATTTATAAGTAAGCAAAGGAAAATGAGGGCCAAGTATATATCTCAACAAAGTTAGTCCTAGAATTTAATATAAAACTAAGGTCATCTAAGAGAATTGTGGTTGATGAACTAAAAAATATAAAACAGGTTAATTAGATAAAATATAATCTGTCAGGTGTGGTGGGGCACACCTGTAATCCCAGCGGCTCATGAGGATGAGGCAGAAAGATCACCAGTACAAAGCCAGCCTCAGCAACTCAGTGAGATCTTGAGCAACTCAGAGAGACCCTGTCTCAAAATAAAACATAAAAAGGGCTGGGGATGTGGCTCAGTGGTTAAGTGCTCTGGGTTCAATCCCTAGTATCAACGACTATAACAACAATAGTCTCCTGAGTAGCTGAGATTACAAGCGTGTACCACCATGTGCAGCTTTCTAATTCTTAGTTACAGCTCTTCCTGCATCTCAGTGGCTAGTCCCTAACCAACTAACATTCTATCACCCTATCAACCAACACTATTTCTTTTCTTTATCCAGTTAAAATTTAAAAATCCTTCAAAATGTCATCACAATGTATCTCTTACACTGTCCAGCTAAACCCAAACTCTACATGCATCCAACCCTTCTCTATAACCACATCTAAACTGCTAAAATCTGCTGAGGAAATTTTATGGCCCACTATCAAATGTAACCTCGATGCCATGAAGAAAATCTTCTGTTTCCATAGATGCAGCTCTTTCAATTGGAGTTATCTAGCCTCCAACCTAAATCCCCAAATCTGAGGTTGTTAGTCCTTTCATGTACTAACAATAGCACTTGGTAGGCCAAACTACAATTGTTTATTTTGCTATAGTCTTATTATACTATAAAGTTCTAGAGTGCAGGAAATATATATCTTCTTTCATTTTCGTTCCTAGCCAAGTTCCCAGAATACAGAGTAGGCATGCAAATTTGTACTAGTTCACTTGCAGAATAAAAAGCAGCAAAACAAATTTTAAATAAAAATATAATAATGAGCCATAAAAAGGAATTAAGTTCTGAGACACTATGAAATGTATGAACCCTTAAAGTATGCTAAATGAAATAAGCCAGATACCAAAGGAAATAGATAATGGTTATGGCTGCATAGCATTGTAAATGTAATTAATGCTGCTGGATTGTATATTTAAAAATATTTTAAAAGATAAATTTTAAGTTACAAATATTTTACTAAAATAAAACATCTATTTCAGTGAATGTTACTTTAAAAGTTTACAACACAAAAAAACCTCAAAAACCATAATTACATAAAAATCAAAGCTTCTTTGGCTATCTGTATATCATGAAAATATCACAAAGCAGGTTTACTACCAAAATATTAGAAGGAAGAGAGCTATAAATGTTTAGGTCCATTCCTTATCACTTTAGAGATGAGAAAATAAGAAAAACCAACTTTTTAAATTTTCATTTGCTCCATATTCATACCAAATTAAGATAATTATACTAGCAGGAGTTTGGGAGTATGAATGTGAGGAAGGAGGATTGTATTAACTAATTCATGCTTACCAACATTTATAAGTAGTCCAATTTCAATAACAATATTGACCTCTATATTAAAAAGTAAGAGCACATTTAATGCTTACAAATGTATTCAAATAAATCAACATAAGGAAGTACATTGGGAGAGATAGGGAATGAATGAACAAAGGGAACTGATTTATTACCTGGAGATACTTCCTCTTTCTGTCTGACAGTGTGATCTTTTGTGAACTTCACTCTCTGATGAGCTCTAATACATGTCTTGCACAGCCATTCAACACACTCTACACAAAACCCATTAGCTTCAGCATTGTCTTCACAGCTTGTACACACCTGATGATAAAGCAAGCATGTCACATAAATCTTTGAGAAAAATGAAAAGTTGCTCATCTACTAGTTAAACATAAATGATACACCAACCAAACTAGACTCAGGTTTTTTTTTCCTTTTTAAAAAAATTGTTCATTTTTAGTTATACATGACCGTAGAATGTATTTTGACATGTCATACATATATAGAGTGTAACTTCCCATTCTTGTGGTTGTACATAATGTGGAGTTACAATGGTTGTGTATTCATATATGAACATAGGGAAGTTATGTCTTATTCGTTCTATTGTCTTTCCTGTTCCCAACAGTGTTTGCAAATTTAAATTGACATTATGTAATGAATTATATGCATACGATATGGAAACATTAAACATAGGTAAGTGTTGTTATATTTTCTCCTTAGTTTAATATACTAAATATTCCAGGCACTGTACTAGGTGTTGGAATAGAAGAATTAGGAAAAGCAAATACAGTCCCTGCCTACAGTCTCACAGGTTAGAATCTCATCCCCCCCAACATACACACCTATTAACTAAGTGCTCTTGGGCACAATATACTACTTATTTCTAAAATGAGGGTGGTAACTGAATTTACAGAGTAGCTGTAAAGATCACAAGTATATCTGTGAAGCAAACATACATTGCTGGAATAATCACACTCATATAAAACTATTTAAAATTGTCATAAAGAAAATATATGAGAAATTATAAGAGTATCTGATGGAGAAACTGTTCTCATTGAATTACATTTGGAAGTCTGAAGAAAACAACAGGAAGGAGTATCCAGAGAAAGCTTTTCCTAAAAAGATCATATTACATCAAGATATGAAAGTTGAAAAGTCTTCTAGGAAGACAAAAGAACATGAACAAAAGACTGTAGACAAGAAGAATATAGCAAATTCAAAGAACTAAAAGAAAGCAAGTATGACTCAAGTACAGAGATCAAGGGATAACTGGCAAGAGGAGGAGCTAGTGGTGAGGCAGGATAGGGCCAGATTAAGCAGGTCACATGATAATGTTGGTCTTTGGAGAAGTCTATTGAAAGCTTTTTAAGTAAGAAAGTAGAATGGCCATATCTTACATTTTAAAGTCAATATTGCTGTGAGGTGGAGAAAAGATTAGAAAAGGAACATTTCTGCATAAAGGTAAACTAGGAGGTTTTGCAGTGATGCAGGTGAGGGGTGGCAGAAAGAAATGGAGATGAGAAGAGAATGGGTGTGAGGGAAAGTTAGAAAGTAAAACTGGTTTGGATGATGCATTGGGTATGTGAGGTAAAGACGAGATAGCATTTATGTTTCTAACTTGTGTAACTGTACCAATGTCTGGGTAGGGTACAGATATTAAGGTCAAACAACATATAAGCAGTTCTCATTATCTTATTTGTGGTTAGGAAGAAAAAAATATTTTTTCTTCACTCAGGGGTTACCAAATTCCAAATACCTGAATAATTTCCAAATAGCAAAATCTCAGCTGTTATCACCTTTAAAATGTCTAGCATTGTTTGACACCACAAATGCCTACTTACTAAAAATCAAGTGATTTGAAATGATTTTGGATTCCGTAATATCTGCCAATCCTCTTTTCTCCCTGAATGCCCCGCTAGATCCCATCTACTACTGTTTTTCCCTCTGATTCTGTACATAAGTCTTTAATCTGCAGACTGATCACATCTACTTACCTTCAACTACCACCTCCACAAAGATGTCACCTAAAATATAATCTCCAGAAAGGCTACAAAATTAATGTGGAATGTGTATATACACTGATCAGAAGAAATTTCTTATACATTATGCAAATACTTTTAAAAGCAGGAAAAGTATGTAAATACTTATATTTAAGAAAAATGCAATGAAGTGGATTTTTTTATTTAACAAGTACAGGCTAGGCACAGTGGCACACACCTGTAATCCCAGTGGCTTGGGAAGCTGAGGCAGGAGGATTGAGAGTTCAAAGTCAGCCTCAGCAAAATTGAGGCACTAAGCAACTCAGTGAGACCCCGTCTCTAAATAAAATACATAATAGGACCAGGGATGTGGCTCAGTGGTCCAGAGCCCTTAAATTCAATCCCCGGTCAACAGCCCCCCCCCTACCCCAGTAATATATCATATGGTATTAAAAACAAAAGGATATCAACACCTGCCTCTGTGGGGCCCAGGCGCACCAGTGGCCTAGGTCCACCCATTTCCCTGCGGGGCAGACACTCGCTGGAGCCTAGCCTCTGGTGCAGAACCGCCCCTTCTGACCAATGGACTAAGGCGGGAGCTGAGATCCAGCCCAGACCACCAACTCCAGCCCACTCAAGATCCAGGTTCTCCATAGGCCCAGTTCACCCTTCCCCCAGTGGGGCAGACACCTTCAGAGCCTAGCCTTTGGAGCAGGACTGTCCCTTCCGATCACCACACTACCTTGGGAGGTAGAGCCTAGCAGCCCAGATCCACCGAAACCAGCCTCTGCAGGGCCCAGGTGCACAGCAGGCCTGGTCCACCCCTTTCCTGGTGGGGCAGACACTTGCCAGAGCCTAGCCTCTGGCACAGGATCGCCTTTCCGACCAGCAAACTACCACTGGGGGTCAAGCCCAGCGGCCCAGATACACCCACTCCAACTTACGCAGGTCCCATATCCAAGATGCAGTAGCATCCACTGAGGGACACCATCAGGGTCTGGAAGCCCAACATCACGGTGAGGTACAGACAATCTGTACAGGTACTACAAGAATATAGGGGAGAAACTGTAATATCTCAGATCCACATTGTAAGAAAGGAAGACACATAGACACCATGAAAAAACAAGGGAGGAAAGTGCCCCAAACAAACCAGGACACTATAATAACAACCCATGGAGAGTGCAAAGTTGATGAAATGTCAGAGAAGGAGTTCAGAAGGTTCATAATTAAATGATCTGTGAATTAAACAATGACCTAAATGAGCAAATACAAGCAAAAATGGATCACTCCAACAATGAGATAAGGGAGCAAATACTGGTAGCAAAAGATTACTGAGAGAGAGAGAGAGAGAGAGAGAGAAAGAAAGAGAGACCCTGAAAACAACAACAAAAAACCCAAACAAACCAGAAATCCTTGAAATGAAGGATACAATAAATCAAATAAAAAACTCAATTGAAAGCATAACCTACAGACTAGATCACTTGGAAGAAAGAACATCAGATAATGATGACACAGTATACAATCTGGAAAATAAAGTTGATCAGTGAAGAAAGTTAGAAACCCTGGACAGAATATCCAAGAATTATGGGACAACATTAAAAAACCAAATCTATTTTTTATTGGGATAGAGGAAGGCACAGAGCTTCAAACCAAAGGAATGCATAATCTCTTCAATGAGATAATATCAGAAAATTTCCCAAGCATGAAGAACAAATTGGAAAAACAAATACAAGAGGCTTAGAGGACACCGAATGTACAAAATTACAACAGATCTACACCAAGGCACATTATAATGAAAATGCCTACCATACAGAATAAGGATAGAATTTTAAAGGCTGCTAGAAAGAGGAATCAGATCACATATATGGGAAGAAGAATTTGTATCTCAGCAGATTTTGCAACCCAGACCCTCAAAGCCAGGATATAGTGGAAAACATATATCAAGCTCTGAAAGAAAATGGATGCCAATCAAGAATCTTATATCCAGCAAAATTAAGCTTTAGATTTGATGATGAAATAAAAACCTACCATGATAAACAAAAGTTAAAAGAATTTACAACTAGAAAGCCTGCACTACAGAACACCCTCAGCAAAATATTCCAAGAAGAGGAAATGAAAAACAGTAATGAAAATCAGCAGAGGGAGGGATTACACTAAAGGAAAATCTAGTCAGAGGAGAAACCAAGTCAGTTAAATACCAAAAATAAATAAAAGTGGCTGGGAATAAAAATCATGTGTTAATAATAACCCTGGAATGTTAACGGTACAAAGTCACCAATCAAAAGATTGGATTAAAAAAACAAAAAAACAAAAAACAATATACTGCCTACAAGAGACTCATAGAAAAAGACATTCAGACTGGAGGTGAAGGGTTGGAAAAAATCATACCATTCACATGGACTGCGGAAGAATGTAAGGGTTTCCATCCTCATACCAAATAAAGTAGACTTCAAACTAAACTCAATCAAAAAGGATAAAGAAGGTCACTACATACTGCTCAAGGGAATCATACACCAACAAAACTTAACAATTATAAATATATATGCCCCAAACAATAGAGCATCTATGTTCATCAAACAAACCCTTCTCAATTTCAAGAGTCAAATAGACCACAACACAATAATTTTGGGTGACTTTAACACACCTCTTTCATCACTAGACAGATCTTCCAAAAAAAAGCTGAATAAAGAAACTACAGAACTCAAAAATACAATCAATAACTTAGACTTAACCAACATATATAGAATATTCCAACCTTCAACGAGAATACACTTTTATCTCAGCAGCACATGGATCCTTCTTTAAAAGTAGAGATACTACCCTGCATTCTATCAGATCATAATGGAATGAAATTAGAAATCAATGATAAAATGAGAAATAAAATCCACTCCAACACCTGGAAACTAAATAATATGCTACTGAATGAACATTGGGTTACAGAAGACATCAAGGAGGATTTAAAAAGTTCTTAGGGGTGAATAAGAAGACAGATACAACATATTGAAATCTCTGGGATACTATGAAAGCAGTTCTAAGAGGAAAGTTCATTGCATGGAGTTCATTCCTTAAAAGAAGAAAAAGTCAATAAATGACCTCATACTACATCTCAAAGCCCTAGAAAAAGAAGAACAAATCAACACCCAAAGTAGCAGAAGACAGAATAAAATAGAAAATATTGAAGGCATCAAGAAATTTCTAGAGTCATATAATTTGCCCAAATTGAATCAGGATGATATACACAATTTAAACAGATCAATTTCAAGTGATGAGATACCAGGCACCATCAAAAGTCTACCAACCAGGAAAAGCCTTGGACCAGACGGATACACAGCTGAGTTCTAC